TCACTTCTAGCCATATGTTTCCTCCTTATGGTAGTGACACTAACCCCCACTTTTTTATCCTAGCCCAACACAAAATAACACAATCAAAACATACCACAGTTAAACTAACAACAACAGCAACAATTGTTTTTTTTTTTACTGAGGAGGGGTAGAGTGTGCAGAGCAGCTTTGCACAAGATGCCTCTAAAACCCCTTCTGAAATGTGATGCATATGGCAGATGCCACATAGTCCCTCCCCAAAGATCAACTGTCCTGGTGACCTACCCAGTCCGAACATAGTCCCTGGGGTGTGTGGAGTCTCGACCCGCACAAGTGCAACATCCTTTCTTGGGGCTGTGTTGTTGCTGCCGGTGCTCCTTAGTGCACCCCACTCTGGGCACGCCATCCTCCTCTGACCCTGGCGGGTAACCAAGCTCTGTGGGCGTTCTTTCCATTGGCAAGCCTTAGTGGAGGACAAAAGAGCTCTGTGTCCTCCTCCTGGGCATGGGAGAACTCTTCACAGCTCATCATATCAAGCCCACCAATACTGGGGATAGTGACAACGGCATTCCTCTCTGCCACTTATCACTTTCTCCGTCATCCACTGCACTAGCTGAAAGCTGGCAAGGGTGCTCCTTGTGCATACTACCCCCCAACTCTCTGCCTCAGCTCTGCCACTAGCCACCACCACCAGCTTCAGTCATCCCATTTCCAAGCCCAGTGTTTCCTTCCTGAGGTCGAGCAGGGCCCCATCTGCAGCCTGGGAACCTAAGCCAAGTATGCACACATCCTGAACTTGTGTACTTGGCTCAGACCGAGTTTTACCATTGTAGCATGGTAGGATGTGAACCATCTCACTCTCGTCAAGCCTCAGCTGGGCTCTGCTGCCACGCCATGTCTTCTACACAGTGCAGATGTGAATACTCAGAAAATGACATGTTGAATGAGGAAGAATGGTGTTTAGCTTAGTATTGTCTAAAAATTAAGGACTTCTGACTACAGCCGCAGGAACAGAAAGACTAGGCATTGCAAAAAGCTCCCAATTGGATGGAGATGTTAAAGCAGCAAGACTTCAATTTATCACCATTCTTAGATCTCAAGGAAGGGCGTCAAGCGCATGGGTGTGTACCTCTGAATAAAGCAGCAGAATTGTGTGAAGTGTGGGGTTTGAAGCCATAAATGCAAGAGTCAAGGCTATGTATCTGATTTTTGTGACTACAGAGAGCCAGTAAAGTGATCTCTGAGTAGGAGAACTGGAAGGCTATGGATTAAATGAAAGAGTACCATTCAGAAATGGCATATAAGGGAAGAGAAGTGCAATAATAATGTCTGTAATTGTTTTGTATTCTTTTGATTTGGTGAAGTAGCAATCTGTAGGAGCTGGTCATGGTTATTTGTGACTGTGAAAATTAAACTGGTTGTCAAGAATCATGGCAAGATTTTTAGCCATATGTGGTCTTGTCGAGATCATGGATCTCAGTCCTCCATAAGAGACTTCAGAAAAGTCAGCCACATCTCTTTAGTGAGATTTAGGAGAAGTCCAGCATATCAACAGTAAGGTGAGCTCATCACTGATCCTAATGATTGTATAGCAAGAGAACAAAGGTAGTCAAAGAACTGATCACTGGAGGACTCTGGTAGTGAGGCTGTGGGGAGTTAAGAGGACCACAGAATCGATCCTGAAGCTCAGAGAAAGCTGCACTGCTGATGCCTAAGTTTAAAGGAACTGAAATAAGCATTTGATGGATCACAGTGTCAAAGACAGCCAGCAAGTAAAGGAAGATGAGGACCGAGGACCAAGTCTCTATGGAAAGCTTGGGTGATTGTAAGGAGGGTAATTTTCAGTTCAGCTTATTCTATGGTGTTCTCCCTGTGTCTTTGTGGGTTTCCTCTGGGTGCTCAGTTTTCCTCCCACAGTCCAAAGACATGCAGTCAGGCCAATTGGACATGCTAAATTGCCTCTAGGTGTGAATGTATATGTCTGTCTGCCCTGCAGTGGACTTCGACCTGTCCAGGGTGTTTCCTGCCTTCCACCCAATGACTGCTGGGATAGGCTCCAGCTCCCCCCGTGACCCAGTAGGATAAGCTGTTCCATGGTTCACATTCTTGCCCTTCTTACCCAATTTCACAGCCTGACCAACAATCTTTTTTTTTTGTTGTTTAAAACATGGCAATTACTTTTATGTTAATAGGTATTTATAGGTATTTGATATATGCCCAAATAAAAGACAACTGTGACCAAGATATAATTGTGGTAGTGAGATTTTTAAAAATTGAATCTTGTAGTGCAGAGGGGTTTGAATACTTAAATGCCTGTGAAACCAGCATATTTCAGTTTTTCATTTTATTTAAAAAATAGACAAATTAGACAAATCATTTTGTGTTGAAAATGTTTGTCAGAGTATATGAGTATGGGAAAAATATGTGTATCATTTGTAATCCAGAAAAATGTTGATAAAAGGGGTTGAATGCTTTTACAAGTTATTGTATGTGTACAAATGTACATATATGAAGCTCTATGAGGACATGGGTCTTCCTATGGTAATAATGACAAATAACAGATCTGTAAGTTGGTTACCTATCTCTGTAGTCTTGATCCCCTTTTCAGGGGGTCTCTGGCGATGCAGGGACATGGTGATGGTGTGTTTGTTTCCCTCTATATGTTGTATTTCAGTGATTGTACAGCAAGACCTCCATGTAAGCTCTTTGCCCCTGCCCCTAGTTTTTCAGACAAATTTTGATTTAATTCAACAGTAGTCATGGAAAAAAGAATGATCTAATTTCTTAGAAATATTTTGATCAACATACATCCAACTGTCCTGACTGATACAACACAAAATAAAATATTAAAAGTTGCAAGTTAAGTAAACCACAGATGTATAATCTCAACCAAATGACTTCAATTGATGTATGATCTCAATCAAATGACTTTATTCTTCCTGTTCTTGTTCTACTGCTACTATTATTACTACTACTAATAATAATAGAAATAAAAGTTTCCTTAAAATTAACATTAGCACAATTGATGTCCTTGGCATTGTCCACAGTGCATGTTGCATGTCGAAGTTTATCTTACACTTGCAATCTGCCATTGCTATGGTAAAACAACAGCTATTAAGCCAAAGCAGAAAAATCATAGAGTAAAAATGTGTGTCCTGAACATGCAGCATCTCTGTGTTTTCCCTAGACTCATTAGTTAGGCTCCTGACATGCCAAACAGATGGGAAAGTTAATTAGCTCAGAGTTAATTTCTCAGCAAATTCAAACCCTCACACACTCATGATATCAATAGCTTCAGATAGACCATGCAAAACATATGCCTAACATGTCTACAGCAAATACAGAAAGAAGTTATTTTCTTGATTAAATTCTTACCTCTATGGGGATTAATAGGTATGTTGTAGCATAAGCTGCTGAATGTCTGCTGTAGCAGAATTAAGTGAAATGAAGATAGAAGTGCACATGGACTTATATGGCTGTGACTTATATATCTGCCTTATTCATTATGCATGCATGCTTGTTCAGCCCTATCACATGCACAGAAGCCTGAGGACACACCCCATGCAGCATTAAAAAGTATCAAACAACTGAGAACATGAAAAAAGTGACATGAAAATCTCTGGAATTATGGAACTGATGAAAATAACTGTAGTAAGCTAATAATTATGGGACAGTTGATATGATGCAGTATTTTGTTCATTATGAATCTTGTTGCTTACTATAGAAGGTTTTAAACCTAAGACAAATATTCAGATATGCTTGAAGCTGAATGCAGAGTTGGTTAAAAATTAGAAACTGGACATGTATTGTCACTGTAACCTTTCCATCAACATTGTGAACTGGTGAAACGTAAAAGTTAATGATCAACAATACCAATTCATTTTGAGGGAGATATACCTTACATCTTTTTTAGTATGACCCTGACTCAAGGACAGTGTGTTATCTTTTTGGAAAAAAGGGCTATAAAAACAAATCAGCAAACAATTACACAATACTGGCTCTAGTGATTACGTCATGCCTCATTTATCTCTAACTCTCAATGACTGATCATAGTCAGATAAGTAGAGAGAAGATTCTGAACATGCTCTGTCTGATAACTGATAACACCTGCTATGTCTTACTAAGAAGGAGAGAGACTGTGTGCTTGATGAGTATTTTAGCTTTTAGATCTGGTATTTGTACTACAAAGCCATAGTTGTTGTAAAATTGTATTTTCTACAATTTTACAATTGTGGTAAATTATTATTATTATTATTATTATTATTATTATTATACTATCATTAGGCAACATAAAGTCAAACTGTTGTCAGAAATGTGGCTTTAAGTGACAGACAATGGGCTACAATGTTCCATAATGACAGCCATAATGACAGTCTTAATGACAATCGTCATGATACTCCAAATGAGTCTAATCCATTTTGGCTCAGTGACTGGCTAAAAAAAGAGTCAGTGTAAGACATAGTTAAAGAGTGACTGAACTATCTAGTCTTTTATCTAATAAAAGTTGCCTGTAATAAAAGAGTACACAGTGGAGCCATTATTTTGTCATTAATCAAAGCCGCAGCACTTCACTCTACCGTTACATCACTTCTTCCTCCAGCTTTATAGCATTTCCCTTAATTGGTTAGTAAGAGTAGGGCCAATCCATTCTTGTTTGTACAATGCTAATTCCAGCCACACACACCAGGACAAGCACTGGTCTGAGATGAGCTAAAACCTTTCCCTACTTTACATTACACACTTCCCAAAGGCCCAGTACACAATGGGATTCAAAACTGAATGAATTTAACAGCCATGGAATTTAGACTGTAGGATCTCTGTGGTCAAACTGAATGAGCAGTGCTTGTCTAACACTGCATGCTCAGAATGTTAAAACATTACTTGGAGGGATAAATGTGTAGAGGAAAAGATTACATGCTTCCTATTTCTGTACTGCAAAGCTCTTTAACTGACTTAGTGCCGCCTTGTAACTATGTGTGGATAAGGTAGAGAGCAGGCATTTGTGCGCATAGACAGTGAGTGTGGAGGGTGACACAGAAATGCACTGCTAAATTCATTATTTGTGAGAGGCATTGCAGTAATTCAGGCGTGTCTTGCTCTATTTAGTGACTGGATTTACAGGACAATTGGACGCAGAAAACCAGCAAAAAGGTTTTGGAGATGTTGGTTTCAATGTTAACAGCTCTCTACATGATGATGAGACTAGCTGAACAGGTAAGATCACTCACATAGCCATGAGAATGATAGGTTATAGCTGTATGATGGTGGTCAGATGGAAAAACTGGCCATAGCTGATTTGTTTTTAACCATGATCTGACAACATTGATGGGTAAATGTGATCTGCTAAGAGAATGTACATAAAAGAAGTGAGTCAAGATCACTTGGACAAGAAGCAACAAGGTCATTATGTTTTCTATATCTGGAGGATTAGCACATTTTTTACCTTGTAAAACAAGAAGTTGTAGGGTTTATTCAATCTTAAGTTATATATTGATTAAGCAGTCAAAATTGACCCTCAGCTAATATAGATATTACGGTGCATGACATTTCTAACCGAAGATTTAATGATCTTAACAGTCAATCAGCAAATTAAGCTGTAGGAGCCAGATCAATTACTATAGAATGGGTTTAGACATGAATGTCCGGACTGTTTATTCTGTAGAGGGTAATTTGATTCAGGAAGGACAAGATGGAGGCTGGCTAATTACAGCTTAGCATGCTTGAACATGAAACGGCCTAACCCAAGGAGGGGGTGGAACAGGGCAAAAGAGACTAAATTTGAGCTTACAGACATACTTAAATATATGCACACACACACAGAGACCCACACACACGCACACATATGCTCAGTGAAACTTTTCTTCTGTGTGTCTGTGTGTTTCAGCTAGGTGTCAGGTGGGTTCGACAGCAGGATGCTTTGCCCTACATGGTGTCTCAGCCACTACCCTGGCAGGTTCATTACGTCTCCCATAGCCGAAGAGGAAGCAAAGCAGAAGAGGTCAGTGGCTGTGTAACCAAACTTATAGCCCCTACAGCTTGACCCCACTCTCCCACAATTATACATACATATATCTACTGTATTCCTCACAAGGAAAAGATTATTTACATATTTACAAAACATTGTAGCATATCAAAGCTAGATTTATTTTATATTACATTGTTAATATGTTTAACAATGTGCTTTATTGATCTTCAGATCTTTGTGCGTCTTTGGTAGCTATTTTTCCACATTCCTTTCCCCCCTCATGACATGTCTGGCATGTGATCAAAATCTCACACGTCATTAGCTGCACTCCTCCTCACTTGCGCAAGTACCATGGATTGTCAGATGTAGCAAGGCGACATTTAAGCACCTAATCTCTCTTTATCTCACACACATACAGACAGGCAGATAGTCAGACACACATACCCTCCCCCTTTCGTCTCTAATTCAGATTAAACTCAGAATAATGTTCAGGTTTCAGTAATCCGGTGAAGAAGGATTCTCTTCACTGAGCCACAGAATTAAAAAAACAATCATATTTCTCTATTTGCACAGGACCAAGTGAGGTGTAGAATAATAGACAATATTAAACTACTTCACCAGACTAGTTTGTGATGGAAGGTCATAAACTACCAGGCACACACTTATTTGCATTTGCATTTGGCAGCATCCATGGAATTATGAAGACGGAATTTTAAGGCTGTTTGTTTTCAGCAGGTTAAAAGAGCTTTTAGTATATCAAGTAGAGCAGTGATAACAGCAAGTATGAGTAAAGATCTGGATCTGACCAGAAACCACATCGCATAGTTCTGATGTCATTGTCAATGGCATTTTAAGAATTTGAGAGAAACATCATTCACCTGCATAACCCCACCATAGCACATTCTGAGGGACATTCCAGTTATGATGCAGATTCAAATGTGATAAGGGGGCATGTGTGATAGGCATCAGTCTTTAACCGTTGTGGACTACAGGCACTGCAAACTTTTTCAAAGACATGGTTACATTTCGAGTGCACTACTCCTTTTTTAAAGAAAATGTTTTTATATACTATGTATAAAGTATCTACACAATATCTAAAAAAACTCATTGTAGAGCTGTGTAGTTCAAGAAATATATAAAAATACATTCTGACTGTAAGACTAAAGACTGTATTTTTTGAAAAACTGGTAACACTCTTTTGAAGTGTCCAAAGTTTTACACATTAATCAGGTAAATGTAAGGTACAGACACTAAAGTACTAGTAAAATACTTTGTGTAACATGACTGCAAGTTCCAAGACAGTCTAACTAAATTACACTGAAAGTCCCAAAAGGTTTTCTAAGTATGTGTTACAAGCTCCAAGATGCTGCATGATGTGGTAAGAACGAACTCATTGTAGTAGATAGCTTCACTACTGAAAATGAACATGATTTGTCAAAACAACCAAAAAACCTGTGCTACCAGTGCCTTAGAACTTAGTAATTTTACCCAAAATATTACTTGCAAAGACCCTGGGGAATAAGCAAAAATATTATATAAATATATATATATATATATATATATATATATATATATATATATATATACACACATTGTTTGTATGTCTTTATTTTATTACTGAGAAACTGAGTCTGAGAATCTAATATTGCTTGTGTCTGTTGTGTTACAGTATGAAGGTCAGAGAAGAAACAGTATGGGTGTGTATAGAAAAAGTAAGTATGAAGGAAATGAACAGTGTGTCTTGATGCCGAGCTTTGTTTAATTTTTGCTTAATGTTTTTTTCTGTTCTGTGCCTAACCTTTCCATCTGCAGATTCAACTTCCAGCAATGGACAACCAGTCCCAGCCAGCCCCACATGTGCAGACAAGGCAGCTGCTACTATTCAGCACCAGTACAGGAAGTACCAGCAGAAGAAGCATAAGCAGACAAAATGAAGGAGCAGCAGCCAGACCAAATGACCAGATACACACTTGCTCTCTGATATAAGATCATTGTGCTTCTCTAAGATTTGCAAGAAGGTGTACAAAACGGGTCCTAGAGCAGAAGCAATGGGCAACTTCTTCTGGCATCTACAGATCCACATTCTCTGATCTATATCCTTCTAATGTAGGCCTACTGACAGGTACATGTGAGTACTCAGTGTTACAACTAGTTAAAAGCATTCACCATTTATCATGATAACAGTGAAACAGATTCCATAGAGACAGCAAAATACGTTCATTGGTCGATAATGAGATACAAGCAATCAACCAGATGAAGGTGGGATAAACAACAGACAAAGAACACATCGTCCTAAAACAAGGATAAAGACAAAAGCAGGATTTTTTTCTTTACTTATGCCGTTGTGTGTTTTGGTGTTTTGCAGATATGTGCCTGGTATATGAGTGTGTGCACTGAAAGAATATTTACTATTACTATTGAATAAAGCTTATGTAAGGGGCATGATTTTACAGAGAAATTGTCATGGCTGCAACATTCATTAAATGTTTCACCAAAATCTAAGCCTCACTGTCTGAGTTAGAGCAAAGCTACATTCTTCCCTGTATTGCCTATTAGGGAAATGGCCTCAGTAACCAGCAATGTTTGGCTGTTTTCATGAGAACAAATAGTCTGCAAGACCATCCACCCATTTAGCTGGTAGTCCTATTTCTGACTCATTGTTTTTTGGGCCAGAATGATAAGAAACACACTCTACAGATGTTCCTTAAGTTTACAATGTTTGTCTAATACACTGTCATGTATGAATACCACTTGCAAGGTTCTACTATATACCCCTAAAAGTTGTTGAAGATTGAGCTATAAGGATGATAAGTTTGTGATGTGTTATATCAGCCCATAATCACAGCCACAGAAAACTAAAATAATACAAACAAAGACAAAAGGCCAGAACACAAGTCATAGAAAGATAGCTTTATTGCACAAGGTGTCGGAGTACTCTTTTTCTGTTTTTGTTTTGTTTCATAGAAAAAAAAACTGTATAGTTAAACACAAGCAATTGCAAATTGAAGCAACTCTTCCATAAAAGTTTATGAATCCCCTCTGCATTTTTTTAAAACTTTTTTCACTTTTAATTATTTGTATTTCCTTTCCCTTATCTTTTAATAATCAGCAAAATATTCAGAGCATGCAATGCCATTTTTCTTCAAGATAACTAAAAAAACAAAAACAAAACAAAACAAAAAAACAATAAAAAAAAACCAACAACATAAATTACCATGATTGCAACAAACCAAACCAAAACAAAAAAAAAAGTAAAAATGATAATAAATAAATACAGTAATAATAATTTTAAAAAATAATCTAAATTAAATGCCAGACATGTTCTCTTCTGGGATCTTGTGTCCCTTGTTTAAAAGTAAGTGTAAGGTGTTTTTGTTAGATTTTATATATTTTATTATTTTTAATCCCCTCACATTTAAAGTTATACCTTTAATCAGACATTTTAATTGTGCCCTGGTTTCTTCTGGAGATGTCGAAAATAGTAATTATTTATACAAAACACTTTGTTATATACAAGTCATTATTTGCAGATTAGAAATTATGCTGACAGGAGGGGCCTGGGTAAAGCAGGAAATCTGATTGGTTAAGGAAGTGGGGCAAACTGGATAAACGTGGGTGGGCAAACAGGGTGGATGGTGATGGAGTTTGATTCCTAACTCCGCCCAATATTGACACAGGTTCTCCTGTGACTGGTTGGAGCTAAGGGGTCCCTGATTTTGACTGACTAAACAGACCTGCCCCGTTGCGTAACAACTGCATTTCATATAAACAATCATTATAAAGAAAAACAATACAAACCACAAGGGGATACATCTACAACCATAAATATTAAAATGAAAAGCAAAAATTTATATCAATCCATTGTCTATTGAACATAACACACGGGGGGCTTTCCAGTGAGGTGAATATTTCAAAGTGTTCATGACATATCAGAATGAGTATGAATACTGTATGGCCGCAGAGACAATGGCACAGTCTTAATGAAATGATTCTGGTTATGAGTCTATGCACTGGGCTTACTTCTGACTTCTCACAGACATAATAAACCCAGTTGGTGGTTTTCTGTGCTTTAGCAACAATAAGAGGAACACTTTAAGCAGAATGATAACTTGGTGAGGTTTTAGGGGTACCAAATCAGTGTACACTCTTAGGCAATCTTGAGGTTCAGCTTTTCTCACACAGCACTGGGTATACCATAATTTAATTCAAGTCCTCAATCTTCTTTTCAGTTAATCAAGCAAGTCACTGATGCAAGTAATGTTCTGATTTTGTCAACTCTATTTTGAACTCAAAAAGTTTTTTTTCTGTTTTATATGTTTAAACCATGTTCAATGTATCTCACCTGACCTTCCTTAAAGCAGCTGCATAGTGCCATAATGTCTTGAAATGTCTTCTGCTACAGAAGTTTGCAGTGGTTGTGTGTTGTGTTTGGATTCTGTTAATTTAGTTCACCTACATATTGAAATAATCTTAAAATGCAAAATGTCTTGTTACTCTTAGCTTTAAACAGATTTCCCCTATGTGAATCACACATAAAAATAGCTATTATTATTATTAATAGCTAGTATAGCTAATGGATATTTGCTGTGTGACATGAGGGCATGTGTGCGTAGGGTCAGAATATATGTTAGTAAAACCAGCAATAAAAAGAGCATGAATCCCACTATTTTAGACTGTTTCTAATCTAGTATACACTGGGCAAATGTAATGACTGGGTATCAGTAATGAGTCACACTGTGAATGAATCCAGAGGAAACACAAGATGTAACCTTGTCTCTGTTACATCTTTGAGTTGCAGTGTAATATTTATAGCTTTGCTAATATATCCAAAAAATGAAATGATGCCTCTCACAACTTTATCACTGGCCTTTGTGGCAACACTGTGGCAATTAACTATATGTTGCTGTGTTCGTGCACCTACTCAGGCATACTGGCGTATACCATCTAGGTGATTCTATGTATTCACTGAGCCTTCATTCCGATTCCTGAATAGCAGACTTGCTGAGCAGCACTAAAGCTTCTGATCACCCAAAATGAACCATCTTGAAACATTTCTCCTGTTTATCTTTCTATTTATCATGTTCTTTACCATTTGGGTTTAACATTTGTTACCCGTTTATCTCTCCATTCCATCTCTTAATCTACCATCTTGTTTTTCTCTCATTCTGCTGCTCCTCCCACTGAGCGATTGTCTTCAAATCTTTTTTTTAAAATATAATTTTTCTTTACTCAATTAGATATGGCATTATATCTCTGTTTTCACCACTTATATATTTGCTATATCTTTAGATAGAAATATATATATATGTATATATATTTGTATATATTTTGGCAAGACACACTGTAATATATTTTCTTTTTTCTCTTTTATATTGCAGGAGCCCTGATGTAGTGTTTTGTCCATTGAAGTCAGTGAGAAGTTGGTTCATTTTTAGAAGTTTATATGTGGGGTTTGGCTTTGGGAATCAAGTAGGTGAAGGAGAAGGATACCAGATGAGAAAGATATACATTAAATACGTCCCTTACTTGCATGGAGTAAGGAGGAATGTTTGGAGGAAGAGAGAGACTAGTGTTATTTCTCCTTCTCTTGCCTCCACTTTTTCCTTATCCCCTACGCTATGTATTTTCACCCCACTATGCTACCTAAAGCTAGTGTTTGTATCACTGCAGAATAACATGGGCCAACATAGCCCTCTGGTGGGAAAGGAAAGCAAAGTTTAAAGAAAAAAAATGATTAACAAATGCAGAAAAGCTACTCAGCAACAGCAGACATCTCTCCAGCTCCCTCTCCACATCTTTCTATCTGCCTCTGTTCTTCCCTTAATATGAGCTTATCCTCTCTCTTTCTTCACTTGTTGACAGGTCTGCACTCTGTCCATCTGGGAGAGGCTGTTAGGTGTTCACAGTGAGGATGAGGGGGGTGGTGAGGGGAAAGGGGGAGAGGAATGAGGGTTGTATGGCATTAAGCACAGACAGATAAGCTGACAAACATTAAAAGGAATGCTTTTTTTATATTTTTAAGGAGAGCATAAGAAGGAGGGGGCTAGGAGGAGGAGTCTGTCCACTTCTTTAATGCGCACTGGTTTTCATACTCTCTCAAATGGTTCTGCCTTTTTCTCTACAGCTTAATTGGAAATGGTGTAACTCACAACAGAAGCAGGGCAGAATACAGGTGAAGGCCCTTCACATGTCACAGCTCTGACCGTCTTCTCTCTTCTCTCTCCATCAAAGATCAGGCCTGAATGTGAGGGTCCTCTGATGTTGTGTGCTGAACACATGTGTACATATATATTTACATATATAAACACACATGCACACGCAGACACACACACATATACACAGACACACACATGCGTAGGCTTGAGAAAGCTCAGTGCATTCACTCCCTCCTCCTTAGTGCACAAGTTCAAAAATTAAAAAAAAAATTAAAAAATCCAAAAGAAAACATGGGGAAAAAAAATACAGTTTCCGTCCATCCTCTGTGAAATAGCTCCAGACATTTTTTTCTTTTTTTCCTGTTTGTTTATAAAATAGTCAATAACACTTTATACTGTGTCATCAATTGCATGAAAAAATCTCAAGGACTCAATGTTCTGTTGGCTTATGCCACAGTCACTGAATTGTTTATCTGAGTCCAAACCAGTTTGGCCAGGGAGGGGCAAAAAGGTAGACACCAGGGTTAATTCTTTTATGCATAAGCACTTTCCAAGGCAATGCGTATGGTTTTGCTTTTGCAACAGGCGTAAAAAGAAACACTCAACAGCCTAAAAAACATCTAGACAGGTTAATATGAAACAATATATTTTCTACAACCATTGAGCTTTCCTATGTCAAAAAGTGAAATTAACAAGTGCACATGGAAAGTAGTTTGTGCATAAGGTCCGAGGTGTCTTTAAAAGAGAAAGAAAAAGGAGTGCGAGAGACAGAAAGAGAAAGAGACCCCTGTGGTGGATGCATAACAAAAGGTTTGGCATGTTAAAACTGAAAATTAAAAGGTCTAAAAAAGAAACGGGTAATGAAAGAGAGAGGATTTAAAAAAAAAACATAAAACGTGGATTAAAAAAAGAAAAACAGAAAAAGGCAGGGTAAGGTGAAATAGATACAGATAGGCAAAAGAGAGAGATAGAGAGAGATAGAAAGAAAGAGAAAGAGACCCCTGTGGTAGACAAGCCCAGACAGTACAGAGTTTAGCCCCTACCCTATGCCAGGCAGGCTCCAGATGCCAATCAACATGTGTGGTTATATGTGTAATTTTTGTGTGTGGAGGGGAGAAAGCAAAGGGGCTACACCAGTGTGTAGGACTTTGAATATGCCCCAGCACTCTGCTTCTGCAGTCTGCCCAAGCCAGATGAGCTGCTCTCTAGCAGAGAGTCTCTGGAGCCCCCGACCTTGGAGCTTCCAGCCATGCCACTTCCCCCTGTGGAGCCAGTGCTGGCAACAGCACTTGCTGCAGCAGCTGCCGCACCAGTGCTTTGGCCAGCTGAGGAGGTGGATGAGGAGCTGGGCATGGTAAGAGTCCTTTGGGGCAATGTGGCAGTGCCCGAGCTGATGCTGGAGCCACCTGTGGTGGTGCTTGAGGCTGGGCCTGAAGCCCCTGAAGCCCCCGAGCTGGTCAGGCTACTCAAACCACCATGGCCCAGTGTCAGGGATGGCTGTTTGGACGGGTCTAATGTCATGTGGCGGCCCTGTGTGTGGTAGGCCCGTGCCGCTAAGCCTCGAATGGAGGCCTCTCGTGGTGGCACCACAGGACATGGGTCGTGCAGCTCAGCCTGCTTACGGAAGAAAGGGTCCGTCTTCATGTACAGGGGGAGGTTACAGTACTCACCTGCAGAAAGAAATAAGTGTTAAAGGAAAGAACAGTACAGCCACTTAAGAACTAATCAGTGATTAGCCAAAGCATCACAAGCTTTGAAGAGCGATCAACTTTTCAAAATTGCATCAACATATACTTTATGTGATGGGTGGAGTCCAGACTGATCCAGACTGATTTTGTGAAAGATCCAAAGGTCCACATCACTTACTCATCTCTTAAAACTGACCCAGAACCCTGTTTGTTCTTCTGTTTTTACTAATTTACAAATGATCAGAAATACATATATTCTTTACAAACCCCAGAAATATATTTTGTCATTCAGGCTGCTATAATCAACTCACTGATATCGATTTGCATATATATTTAGTCAACTGTTTTTTTTTCTGTTTAAGTAGGTTTTCAGCATGACGACAGCATGTTTCAATTTTTTCTACCTGTGAGTTTAGTTCCTCATCAACAGGCTATGGAGTCTCTCAATTCATACTCCAGGCACCCTTCTCCAATAAATAATTTCAGAACACCAGATAACGTGTTTACGTGACAAGGTTTTGTTATACAAAAAAATCAGCTTTGATTAACTGATTTAGCAATAATAGTCTACAGATTAATAATTTACTAAATAATTGCTAGCAGCCCTATTTGGCAATAATAAATGGAAGACAGTGAGGTCAGTTAGCACTACGCAAATGAGTTGATGTATCCCCACAAGCATTCTAGACAAATTTCTACCTTAAGGGCAGCTAATTATGGAGAAAACCCAGCTCTGTTAACTCTTAACAAGCAAACAACATACCCAAATGTATGCACTGGACAAAACATTCACTCAAAAACAATAAATTTACTAAAATTGATCCAAAGCTAGCATAGTCATCTTAACAACAGCAAAGGCAAAAGGCAAAACAGGTCAATTAAGACAAATACACTTTTTGCTGCATAGCTCTCTGAGTGACAGGACCAAATCAAATGCAGCAGTCATGAGTAATTACCACAAGGATACTTGTCATTTGGCATATGGTTTCATTAGTCTGACATTGTTGTTAGAGGCATGATCATAATTTGAAATTGGTCTGATTCCATTAAACACATGGTTAATGGAAAGGCAAATTACTTTATTCTACATGAAGATGTATAAAGAAGATTTCAAACACAAAGAACTCTTGTATTTCTTATGGTAATGTGTCAGTGAAAAATATTTTATGCCATTATAAAATTATTTAATTATTTGACACAGTGGTTTTAAGCACTTTGCTGAAGGTCAAACACACTTCAAAGCCATTGTGGTATATTATTATATTCCTACTATTATATGTTATCATCTCACTGTTAAGAGCGAAAATGTCACAAGCTCTATGGCATGTAACAGTTAATTTATAGAAGCCAGGATATTTAATAACAGGACTAATTACATGTGCATTTTGGGGTCAGCAATAAGCTATTAAAGCCTGTCTTACTGATACCTCTGAGTGGTGCAAGGTAGAGGAGCACTGATTCTGAACAGGTGTAGATCATTCTTACAGGTTTTATATGCATACATACAGGCTTTACGTTACTGGGCTATTGTGTGGAATCATGTTCAATTTAGACCTAGTTCAAGAAAAAAACAATTTATCCTCTTTAACAGAATAGCACATAAACCAGAACAGTCAAATGACTGAGAGAGCAAAGACAGCCTATAGGAAGGAAAGGATTGAAAATTGGAGATGGATGAATGGAGAGAAGACAGAATGAAAGGAGTATGGAAGAATAAAGGGATATAGTTATAGATCAAGGCTCAGCTTGCCAGAACATGAAACATGTTGACGTCACCTCTTCAAAAGCACTTATTTTTGTAAATATTTTACTCATCATAGGATTTTGCTGCACTGCCAGTAATTACAAAAAATAAGTAGTGTTCCACTTTAGCCAACAAACTGTTGCACGGTTTGAAACTGTACCACCAAGTGAAGTGGAACAACTGTGAATAACTGTATTCCAGGCTCTATGATATCCAAATAAAATAAAATATATTCAATACAGTTTTAGCACTGTAAAAATTTAGGACGTTTGTGGCGGTTAAAAAAGACACAAAAGTGTCCCAAAAATCTAAGGAAGGTAATGTCCAAGTACAAACAGCATGTCACCTGTGCCACAATAGAAGGGAACGTTTTAGATCATTGCTACACCACTATTAAAAACGCTTATCGTGCTGTCACATGCGCAGCTCTCAAACATTCCGATCACAGTCTCGCTCACCTCATCCCAACATACAGCATAGGCAAAAACTCAAAACCAACAAGGCAGTCGCCAAAACAACATAAAGGTGGACCAGTGGAAACCACAGTGGAAAAGCTACACGGCTGCTTTGAATCGACAAACTGGATTGTGTTTGAAGAGGCAACAGACAGACTAGATGAATACATGAACACTGTCAAGTCAAGTCAAAGTTTATTTATATAGCGCTTTTTACAACAGGCGCTGTGACAAAGCAGCTTTACAGAAAAATCAGGCAGCCATGAGCAAGCTAATGGTGACAGTGGCAAGGAAAAACTCCCTAAGAGCAAGAGGAAAAACCCTTGGCAGAAACTAAGACTTGTAAGGGGAACCCATTCTCCTCTGGTTGACACTGGATAGCAAAACAATAACACAAGAGCAACATGAACCGAGATCATTAGGAGGGTCAGTGGCATGCCGGTGAGGTTTGCAGTGTTGTACAGCAGCAAGCTCTATAGTGGTCAAACTGGTCCAGAAGGCGGGCTGGCAGTGGGCACCTGATCAAGGGAGATGAAGCAACAGCATCAGACCGCACAGGATGGGGAGTTGTTCAGCTCGGCAAAGAACACAGAGACAGTTAGTTCTGTTAAGAGAGACTGATCACAGCTTACAGTGTTAGAGTACAGCAGAGACTCCAGCAGGTCTAGCTACCACAGCCTAACCTAAAAGGAGAGCCAGAGGGTGACAAAGACATGAGGGCTCCCCGCAAAGTCAGCGCCCCTCTGCTCCGCTGTCAACAAACTTGAGTGAATGCGTAAGAGCAGCGGGACGACAGCACCAACACTCCCAGTTTACTATAATACTCTATGTCCATGAACCCCAAGATCTAAACTTTTCTATCTTTTTCTATTGAGAAAAAATACATACCAAAGGCTTGACTAAACAAGTAGGTTTTTAGCCAAGACTGAACGACTGAGGCTGTGTCTGAGTCTAGAACACTGACTGGAAGATTATTCCAAAGCTGGAGGGCTTTGTATGAAAAGGCTCTAGCCCCTGGTATAACTTTATTAATTCTAGGTACTAATAGTAAGCCAGCACCTAGTGATCTAAATAGGTGTGAGAGTTCATAATAAGTGATAAGTTCACTGAAGTACTGAGGGGCGAGGCTGTTTAGAGATTTATATGTCAGTAAAAGAATTTTGTACTCAATGTGGAATTTAACAGGCAACCAGTGTATGTTTGATAAAACTGGGCTGATATGGTCAAACTTTCTAGTTCCTGTAGGGATGCTGCAGCATTCTGGAATAACTAAAGTGTGTTAAGGCTTTTGCTGGAACATCCAGACAGCAGGGCACTGCAGTAATCCAGGCTTGAGGTAATAAACCCATGAACTAGAGACATTGCATTTCTTAATTTGGCAATGTTGCAAAGATGGAGAAGAGCTAGTCTAGTAATATTGGTTATATGTGCCTCGAAAGACAGATCGTGATCGATCGTGACACCAAGGTTTTTATTTACAGATGTACCTGATGCAAATGAGAAACTATTAAGTTTAAGTGTTAAATTACATAGTTTCTAGCAGCTTTTGGACCAAGAAGAAGAACCACTGTTTTGTCTGAATTGAAGAAGTTAGGAAAAAGTTACGTGACATCCAGTCTTTTATGTCTTTTACATAGTCCTCAATCTTATTAAGTTGAAGTTTATCATCTGGTTTGGTCAATATATACAATTGTCTTTCATCAGCGTAGCAGTGAAAACTGATGCCGTGTTTATTAATATTGGTACCCAGCGGTAGCATATCATCGCTGTCCAAAGAAAAACCGGTATCTCCAAAACAGTAACTTTACAGGAGAAGGCAAAACCCTCCTACCTTTTATTGCAAGTTAATGTAACCAATAGAGTCTAAGATATATACACATGCCTTACTTAGCAGATCCTGTGGTTTGTCAAAGTGGATTTTAAAATCTCTAACAGTTATTACTTTATTCGAGAGCATTATTAAACTTGACAGAAAGTTAGCAAATTCCTGTAAGAACTCAGAATACAGCCCTGGTGGCCTGTACATTATACTTAAATAAGTATAGTTAAAATTAATTAAGTTAAAATTAATTCTTGTTTATTCCTCAATCACTTATATTAAGAAAAAGAATGTCAAAATAAGAGAATTTGTAGCCTGCTTTCTGGTTCACGCCTAAAACTTCTGTATAAAAGATTGCTATACATCCACTCCGGCTGCTTAAACGAGGACTATGTACATGTAGCCTGTGTCTAATCCATGTTTCTGTGAGGCAGAGAGCACCAAAATTATGATCAGTAATAAGTGCATTTACAACGACGGCTTTAGATGTAAGAGACGTAGTTTTAGACCAAAGGTGCTGTCATCGCAAATTGGTTTAACTGATCTGATACTGATTAAATTAGTAGAGCAAATTTTCACGGTTTTCTGAAATTTTGTTTTATTCGAGGAACAGAGACAGTCTCAACTGTTTGTCTGCTGCCTGGCTTTAGCCCTGATTTGTCAGCAACTGACTGTCCTACACTGATGGCTATCTAAGAGTCTACAAGCTATGCTACAGGAAATGAGAGCAGCACCCTCCCACGAGGGGTGGATACTGTCCTGACTCTAAAGACCAGGCTTGCCCTCAAAAGTAGACCAATTATCTACAAAGCCCACATTTTTTTCTGGGCACCACTTGGACAACCAGCAGTTTAGCGACCATAACTTGCTGTAGTAGATTTTGGCGAGATGTCGAACTGCGATGGGGCCAGAACATATTTCGGCATTGGATACTATCTGGGCTAATTTGCACCTCTTTATTGTTATTTTTAGTTATATCTGACTGCTGCAGATGAATGTCATTAGTACCTACATGAATGACTATCCTCGAATACCTCTGGCTAGCCAGCAGCTTCAGGTTCCCTCGAATGTTCGGCGCCCTGGCTACTGGTATACAGCTAACTGCGACTGGTGCCCCTAAAGGAGAAGCTATTTGCACGTGCCGAAAAATAGAACAACCTATAACCAGCTCTCTTTTAACAGGTGTCTCAGAGGGTATCTCACTGAGTGGGGCAAACCTATTGGACATGTGAATGGAAGACGAATGGTGCTTTTGTGGGTAAGCTTTAGGATTAGCTTTAGAATCTAAGCTCTGCTGACTAGCCCTGCTCTTTTCTAACGCCCTGCTCTTTTCTGAATGCACACCTCTAACTGTATAATGTTCTCTGTCAAGCAAGAAACTAACTTAGCATTCTCAAAAATGAATCTAGGTATGCTGCTGTCACTAGTGACAGAGAAAGAGCCATAGGTAAACATGCTGCACTTAGAGCAAAGCAATAGCTCAAGGTCTGCCACACTGATACTTACTTTACTTCGTCAGCTGATTTGAGTCCTTTTCAGGTGTCTCATGAATCCGATGAGAGAAGAAAAGTAACCTCCAGTCGGTGGTTGTAATTTATTGCAAGTAATATACAACAACTACTTGAAAATGTAAAAAACAGCAACAGACCACCAAGATAGAGCAGAGAAAACAGCAAACACTCCTGCCAGCAACATCGAAAAAAGAGGAACTACATCATCATCGCATCTGTCAGAATGACTGTGATATCACACATCAGTTTCTGTGAGGACAGCTGCATTTTAACTACAGCACAGGTGAAATATAGCAACAATAAACCATAGTTTTCAGCTGACCTCAGACCCAACTTCATTCTGAACAGACCATCAAAAGATCACCAACTACAAGGTGAGAAAAACTCTTGAATGACCACCCACCTCACCAATGACCTACCGCAGTTTTGAAAGCCCAAAGGACAATCTTCGGTCTTTTTCTCCCAGTCCCCTGCCCTCTTCCCCGACCCTGGCTCTCTCACTATTAATGAGGTAGATGTTAACATGCTCTTCAGCAGACAAAAGATGAAAAAAGCTCAAGGGCCAGAATTGTCTCTCCATCCACCCTAAAACACTGTTCTGATCAACTAGAACTCATCACAAACACCTTTATAAATCGATAAATCACTGGAACGTCGCCCTGTTCCCACATGCTTCAAAACCTCAACCATCGTTCCAGTTCCCCCAAAAATTAACATTACTGTTCCTTACTGAGGCCAGTAGCCCTGACCTCTGTAGGAAGGTCTTTGAATGCCTGGTCCTAGCCCCTCTGCAGGCCATTACAAACCCTCTGCTGGATCCTCTGCATTTTGTGTATGGAGCTAACAGGTCTGGAACCTACGCTAGTGTTCTGTTTGTGGCAGATCCCATCTGCTGGTGGATCATGGATTTCCTGACAAACAGGAGAAAGCAGGTACAGCTTGGAAAACATACATAATGACCATATCCAGGAACCTGAAGTGGAACACAGTCTTCACAGCCAAGAGAGCACAGCAGAGAATGTTCTTCCTGAGATAGCTAAGCAAATTCAATTTGTCTGATGATTCAGTTTTACACCCATCCTCACATCATTCATAACCATCTGGTTTGATTTCTCCTCCTCAAAAGAATGAGCCAGACTCCAGTGCATAATCAGGGCTACAGAGAGAATTATTGGATGTTGTCTGCCAACGCTTAAGGAGATTTACATGAGCAAGGTGATGAAGTACGCTGGCAATATTACAGATGACCCCTCTCATCCTGGACTTCACCTCTTCCAGCCACTCCCCTCCGGTAGAGGATTCAGGGCCATCAAAACCAGCACAACCAGACATGATAACACCTTTTCCCCAGAGCTGTAGCGCTCATCAAGTGGACACCTTTAACACATTTAAATTTTAAACTGAAACCAACAAACCTCCTTTACTGTATTACAGTATAACGTTTCTGTAATATAAGGCTTATTTGCACAACTGTACAAGTGTTATTATTTTTTTTTTACCAATGTTTCATTTCACTCTGTAATATTCTGTATATAATAGTTACTATATTACATGTTTACCAGACCTGCATATGTATAGATATTAATATCTGCATATGTACAGATATCGCTTTAGCTCATTTCACACTGGCTCTTTATCATTCTCTTATTCCTTATTCTATTTACTGTATTTTTATTCAATTTGTCACTTAATAGTTAAATATTTGTTAATAGTCTGTTTCAGTGCACTCACCAAGACAAATTCCTTGTATGTGTAACATACTTGGTGAAATAAAGTTATTTCTTATTCTGACTGTAAAAAAATAAAAGTAAGGTGCATCCGAGGATGCTCTGGTTGGAACTCACTCTTGTTGGCACGGTGTGGGATGGGCACCGCTACGTTCTTCCCACGATCGTAATCTTGTGGTTTCGGTGGTGATGCAGTGAAGCGGCATATGCCTGGTTCAGATGGCGTACTCATGGATGTCATGCTGTCAGCATTGTCATTGGTGCCTGTGGTCATCTGGTCGGAAGAACTGTCTGAAATGAAGCACTCAGTAATCTCAAACTTAGCGTGCTGCAGATGCTCCTCCAGCTTTGCGTGCTCATAGGCACGGGCCAGTTCCTCGTATGTGGAAGAAGCACTCTCTGTGGATACCATGCTGTTGCGGCCTTTATCTGAGACAGAAATCAGGGTTATGAGGGTGAAGACACAAAAGAATTAGGATGATGCTCTATTAGTTCACCAAATCAGTGAATTACGAAAAATTTGATTCAGTTTGTCAAGTAACTGGCTAAAATTACACTGCATAAATGTGTATGTACCTGTGTCTTGGGACAGGCTGGCACTGTAACTGTCACTTTCTGTGACTGTAATACCATGCTGGGAGCCTACGGTGCGCCAGTCAGAGGTCAGAGTGCGGGCAGGCGTTGATGCCTGGCACTTTGTCAGCGTCCACTGGCTTGAGTAGCGGTTTCTTGTGCTATGAGCTGACTTCACACTTTTCCTTGACACTGGGTCTGAGGAAAGAGCAAGAGGAAACAAAATGTTTGACAAATCAATTTTATTATTATTTTTTTTATTTTGAGTGATACACATCTGATGAATGTGTCTGAACTTACTGGTTCCTGGTCTAATGTCGGACATATCAATCAAGGGACCAGTGTTCTGAATGAGGGCAGGGTGATGCACGGACACGCCTGTGCAGAAGCTCTGAGGGTTAACTGACTGGCTGAACTCAGTGTCCGTCACTGGAATTGTGGCTTTGTCTTCACCTTAAAAGGTATCAAAGAGGAAAGTCACTCGTTCTGCTAAGTAATGCAAAGAGAGTATATTGTGTAAATCCACACTCACACACAATCGACATGACTGACCAATTTGTTTGATCCCCTCCTTGTCCTCAATAAGAAGCTGTACACGTGGAATATCTATGTGCAGCCGTGGCCCTTGAGGCGGGCCCTTTACTGGGGTGTCGAAACTGCGATTATTCTTACTGCTCCAGGTGTGAAACAAACACAGAAATGCACAAGAAAAAGGCAGAAAAAAGTATTGCTACTGCTCCCAGACTATACTCTCTGTATAGCTTGGATTGAAAACTGTGCAAATGCACAATAAAGTGCATTCTTACCTGATTAGCATCTCAGCCAGACTCTTAGCATCTACAAAAGCACCATAGAATATAAGTTATTTATTGACATATTTCAGATATTTATGCTCAATGTCCTTCCCATTTACCTTATTTATCTTTCCCTTTAACTCCTGTTCCCTTTTCCTTCCATATCTTTATTTTTCATCCATCCCCCATTTTTCATCAGTCTCACTCCCTCTCACCTCTAAGTCTCTTTAGTCTCTTCTCTTTGCGTTTCTTTCGAATGATGAAGAGGAGGGCCATGCCCAGTGTAACCAGAATGACAGGACAGCCTATGGAGAACAGCTTCTTCACATCATCGCCCTCCCCCCGTGCAGACTTGATTGGGGGAATTGTGCCTATGAACGATAGACAGACAAATAAATTATTTAAGATTTGAACAAGGTTGAAATGTTAAAACATATCACTACTGACCATCCTATTGAAATGAATAGACAGACAGTGAGAAATGAATCATTATAAGTATGTAAGTCTGTAAGTTCTTTCTAACTGGCCGACTCACTGCCATCATAGTCCAACGTGGCAAACTGGGATGTCTGATTGCCACAGCCTGCGCTGTTGCAGGCCTTCATCTTCAGCTCATACCAGGTGGCCTCACGTAGCTCAGCCAGGAATACATCAGCCGTGGCATTGGTGCGTACACTCTGCCATGCCCAGGTGCCTTTGGGTCGGAAGTCCAATAGCACGGCATTGATAGGACAGCCCCCACTCGTCCAGCCCTGCAGGTTAAGCCGGGCATGTGTGGAATTGATGTGGGTGAACAGAGGCTGGTCCTTGTTGAATTGAGGCTCTGTAAAGGGGGGGAGGGGGAAAGGCAATGGTTTGTACTAATGAAACTGTATTAATTTAATTTAAATGATGACTTTGGAATGGGCCTTAAGGCTCTGTGATGCTTGACACAGTATGGCCAGTGAGTTCAGGATTCTTGATTGAAGAAGAGAAGAAGCTATATAGACTATACGATGTTAATGAATGGTGAACTGCTTTCTTACCTCTGCCATGAGTCTTAGCCTCAATGATCTCACTTATTCTGCCGGCTCCCACACTGTTCTTGGCTGCTAGCTTGACTTTGTACCAGGTGCCACAGCGGAGGTTATCTAGCTTAAAGGAGCGCTCACTGGAGCTAATGAAAACATCTCTCCATTCCTCAGTGTTATCCACAGAGTACTGCAATACAAAGCCTGCAAACACACAAACATAAAAAGTCTAAATGTGTTAATAACATGCAGGTCACTTACTGGAGATGCACCAATACCACTTTTTTCCCCTTCCAATACAGATACCAGATCCTTAAATATATGCCAATACAGAGTACTGACCCTGAATCTAATTCTAACCTAACTTAACCTAAAAATCCTGACATTTATACAATTACACTTTTATAATTTTCAGAATTTTATATTTTCATAAAATATATTTTCTGTGTCACAAACGAAATATACTCAACTTGACTGGATGGATTAAAAACTATTTTTTATTTACTATACATATTTAGTATTAACTATTACATATTAGTAATAAGAACCTTGCATAACAACGTAAGTAAATGTAAACAATTTCTTTGTGCAAAATAGTTAATAGTTAGACAGAACTGAACAATGTATAGTTAAACCTGTGGTGTGCACACATAAGCATACAGCAGTTCTGGCTTGGCAAAAACAGTGCTGAATGTTGTTTCATATCCAAATTTCCCAAGTCATTTGTCTCATACGTGCATCTTGTTCACTCGTGATTACATCACCAGATACCAGACTCTGGAGTTCAGTAAATATCACCATTGTTCACTCAATAACAATCTGGACAAACGTTAACTGAAAAGAAACATTTAACATTATTGAAAGAAGCCTGGCTCAGCCACTCAGCTAAGGGGCTACTGTTAGCATGTCTTTCCCATGAAATGCTGCAATTACAGTTTTCGCATGAATTTTGGCATGAGATTTTTACTGCTGCTTGTTATCCCACACCGCTGATGCTTTTTCTTTTTACTGGCATGCAGGTATCGGTTTCCCCATCACCAATACTGCATTTAAGTAGCAGTATTGGTGGTGGAACACTATTAATCACCTAATTAACCTTTTTGTATTTATTTAATTTGAATAATTTGATATCCTTCATTTTCTGATATTAATTTGACTTATTTAATGTATATTTAATTATCTGATATTTAATATCAGTAACATCACTTTGATAGCCCCAATCATTTTTGGACCCCGTCTTCCTCACAGTTGGTTAGTCCTCTGGATTTATGGCAGTGTAGTACTGCCTTCTCATCACTAGAGGGTGCAGAGATACTGCAGATCACTAAAATTAATCCTCACTAAAACCACTAGTTATACAAAGAGAGAGAGAAATGCTGACTGAGCAGTTATGCAAATGGAGGCATAATATGGCATCCACAGCAATTATTATCAGTGGGCTGGGTTTGGTTTATCTCTCAGTGGCAGACTGTGGCAGGTGACAAAATAAGCATGCGACATCAAAAGGACTGACCAGCAGACACTGTGTGGATTCCCTGCCCCTCCTACACACACTTTTACAGACATACTAGTTTTTTTCTGGATGAACTTTTTTTTTTTTAACATATCATAAGAGACATTAGTACCACTGCCAAGGCCTAAATTCTGAGATTGTATCAATGATGAGCTGAAAAAGTTAAAGTACTGTAGAGAAAAAGTAACGAAACAAGTGTAGAGGTTAGGCACAGTATAGCAGTGATGCCCAGAGAATACATGGATCAAAAAAGACACATCCTTACCAAGTAACAACAATCATGGGAGTAACTAATCAACAAGCAGATAATGGTAAATGCATGAATTAACTGAAATACAGGAGGCTGAAACAACCTGACCAGAAACACTGCACCCAAGTGGATACACAGATACACACAAAGGAATGAGAGTGAGCAGACATACAGTGGACAAATGAATAAAAAAAAGACAGATTCCAAAAAAGAGATCGATAGACTTCATGTTAGAGGAGAGAGAATCAGGGGAGAGAGGAAAAGAAAAGGAGAGGAGTGAAGGTGAAAGAAAGAGAAACATGGAGAAAAAGAGCAAAAAGAAGTGGGAGTATACCTCTGATGGAGCTTCCTCCATTGTCTCCTGGAATCCAGGCCAGAGTAATAGAGGAGGTTGAGGTGGTGGAGACTGTCAAACGTGGTTGGTCTGGGGGAACTGACACACACGTGTACCTTTACCACCTCTATTCTACTTCTATAACGTTAGAGTTATATACAGTGACTTGGCTGAAAGCAGGCTCTAGAAGACTGCCACACTGTAGAGGTAAAGTCTTACCTTGCACTACCAGGTTAACGATAATAGTATCGAACCCCAGCGTGTTGGTGGCTGTACAGGTGTAGTACCCAGAATCCTCAGCTTTCACTGAGCGCAGCACCAATGTCCCATTTGCCAGAATGTTCCGGTGGCCATCCTGAGTGACTGGTATAGCTGAATCTTCACTGCAGATGTCAATATTTAACACATATCACTTTTAATGCGCTGCTGAGCACTGAATATCTGTTAATGTGAAGCCAGTGAAGACAGTAGTACACTCTTAGCACACAGCTTCACATACTACCAATATAGTGTCATACTATTTGTGAAAAGACAGGCTGAATCTGAGTTTATAAAGATATATCTCTGACCTGTCTTTGGTCCATTTGATGGTGGGAGTTGGTTCGCCAACTGAACTGCACGGAAGCCGCACCTCCTTCATCCATGGAGTCGTAACTGTACCTCCAAAAGAGAGTATCTTTGCAGGAGCTGAGCAAGATGGAGAGAGAGAGAGAGAGAGAGAGAGAGAGAGAGAGAGAGAGAGAGAGAGAGAGAGAGAGAGAGAAAATAGTATTTTGTTGTAAGAAATCGCTTAGGAAAAATCCAGATACTTTACCTGCCTCAGAAAAATGTAAAAACAAAATTAACAACAACAAAAAAACATGTATGGTATGTCTCACACATGAACAGATGCCCATGCTATACACTCTGCAATCCACTGCTTTCTCCTCTCATCACATGCTTTCTCCCTGCCTTTCACACACTTGACATCTTAATGGTTGTTCTCTTGTAGTGGGTGAATACAGTACTGAGAGCAACAGCCTGGAGGACACTACCCTTTACTGCTAGTGATCAGACCAAAGGGGACTCAATGCACAGCATACACACACATGCACACATTCACACACAAAGGCACACAGATGCTCTCTTTTACTCTCTAATCCAGGAAGTATTGATAAAAAATGCCCCCTTAATTTTCTCCCCCCTACTCTGTCTCCTTGTAATGCACTATATTGGCAAGGTCTTCAGCTGCTATTTTTCCATCCATCTTGTCCTCCTTCGTTTAGTGCCCTTTGCTCCTCGTCATATAATTAACAATACAGCATTCCTCCATCAATCAAGGGAGTATGGACAGAGAGAAGAGAAACAAGAGAAAGAAAGAAAGAGAAAAAGAATGGCAGAGCAACATACGATGCTCTCAAGGTCATTCTTATCAATGTCTATTTGTTATCATGCTCTCTTTTTAACTCTGTCATGTACCCTAAATGAATGAAAGTGAAACAGTAATGCCTTGTAAATTAATCCTATAAAACAGGTTCATAGACAGAAGGGTGAGGTGAGCTTGAGGTTCAAAATCTGTTTTTCTATCACTCAACACAGAGAACTCACCTTTTCCAGCTGGCTCCACAGTGACTTTTTCGCTGATGTTGCCCCGGCCAGCAGTGGTGACGGCTGCTGCCCAGATCAGGTACTGCTGACCTCTGGTCAGGTGGGTGATGCGGTAGAACAACACTTCTGGGTTCGCCTCATATTCACTGGGAGCCTGACAGCAACAGAAACAAATGATTACCAATACAAAGTAAGGATGTACCAATAAAGAAGTCCTGGCACTTGTTGTGTCTGATACTACAAATAATAACCAATATATATATATTTTTCAATTTAAAATGAGTTTGTACTATAACCCACATATGAAGGGCAATAAGCTAAGGTTATACTCTAGAGAAGCTAGCTGTTAATTTTAGCTAGTTAATATTCTTTAGGCTATATAGATCACTGGAATGATGAGTTTTTAAATATATAATTAGTGACATTTAAAGGCTTTAGTGTATTTTCCAATTTGTTCCCAACTGTAATCCTCTGCTGAAACTGAATACACAATACCAATCACAGGATACCATAATACAATAATAACAATTACATTTCTGAATTCTCAACGCATAACATATTCACTGCAGTATCATTTGATCTCTTCTGAAATTCTAAAACCAAAGTCAACAAATGTGACAATTTAAAGCAGCTTGTGCTTATTCTTGTTGAAAAACCTTTGCCTATTACAGTATGAATTTTACTAATTTTTTACATTTCTGCACATCAGTTATTGATACGTGATGTAAACAAAGTAAATCAGAGTGATCTGATGTGAAATGGTGCATAGTAGAGAAAGTTACAGACTCTACAATTGTGGTAATGGGAACCAAGGTTCACAATGTCTACAACACAAATACAGCCATTTTATTTACTATTCAAATGAATAGTGAACATACACATGTCTTTTGTTACAGTTATTTATTTATATGTAATGTATGTAATGGTACAATAGTGGTAAACTCACTAAGTTTTCTTTGGGTACTATTTTGCCTTTCACTGTCTGCATGCACCTCTCAATTTTAAATACATATTTTAAAAATACATTTAAGAAAAACAATGCAATAACTTCCTGTGATGTATCTTTTAGAGACATTAAATGCTCTGGTTCCTATTTCCACCACTGTGAACAATTCAGACATGGTTTTGCATTTCCTATCAAACCACTCTGAGCAACTTTAAAGGTGAATTTTAAAAAAGTTGTGAAATTCTCAATTAAGATAAGTATACACTTTTGGGCAGGCTTTTGTGTTGGGCTATTGCATAGATATTTAAAAGGAAACATCATTTTACCACTTTTTTAAAACGATAGCTCCTTCACCTTGTCTTGCACTCAATGCTATTCTTCCAATAACCCACCCAGCAATACATTTCATTTCTTTCATCTCTGAATAGGAGAAAGGTGGAGTTTGTGTGTGTGTGTGCATGCAAGAGTGTGTGTGATGCACCCCAGGGGATCAGTAGGGGAGACCCAGGGGGGCTCACACTCAAAGATGAGAGGGGAAAGACAATGCCCCCAGACATGGCAATTGCTCAGACTCCCACATCTGACAATAGAGCTAGCCTAATGAGAGCTACAGATCTGCTGTTCACATCAGCATGGGCAAGGAGGGGCTGAAACACATGAACGCACACACGCACGCACACACACGCACGTTGGCACGCCTGCATGCACACATACCCCCAGTCGTGTACATATTCTTTGTATATGCATAAGCACATAAACACTATAAGGGTGAATGACACACACATACACACACACACAAACACATACACGGGATGTGAGGTTTTGCTGCAAGCTCCTTTAGTAATTGCTACATGTTTAAGAGAGCCATGTGTCTGCTGTCCAGATTCATGTTCATCGCTGTGACTGTCTACAGCCTGCAGATACACATGCGCGCACAGACACACACACACACACACACACACACACACACACACACACGTCTACTATAGCCTCCTATGAGCTCCCCCTAAGCTGGCCCTGCCATCTTCCCTCACACAGCCGAAAGCCTTGACACTTACACTTACCTTTAACACCGCTTCTGATCAGATAAACACACAACAATGCTGCCTCATCCTACATCCTATGATGAGTTCCATTGTTCTGCATACGTTTTGCACTTCTGTGTGGTCTAATCTATTTTGGGGAAATACATTTCCTTTCAACAGCTCTCTGGAAAGGACTATGTATTTCAATACTACATCTGTCCCTGACTTGTTCTTGCATCCTTCTCTCTTTCTTTTTCTCCTCTCCTCTTTTTACTCTTTCTCTCTCTCTCAACGGGAATGCAAGCAGGGAGGTATGGAGGGAGGGAGGCGGAGTGGTGTAACGGATATTGAAATATTCCTCCGGCATGGAGATAGCAGTGATCCAGGGAGCGATAGAGGCAGATAATGAAAAGAGGAACAAAAGTACTCCCTGCACGGTGTGTCTGACCCCCCCCCCTTTCCGCACCCTCCCTCCCTCCCTCTCTTTCTCCTCTCGCACTCATTTACATAGTAATCACCCCATGCTCTGCAAGAGGCCAGGGAGGAAGGAAAAGAGAGAGAGATAGAGAGAGAGAGAGAGAGAGAGAGAGAGAGAGAGAGAGAGAGAGAGAGATTTGTGAATGAGGAAAAAAAATGAGTAGGAATAGTTTGTGTGTATGTCTGGACAGGTACATTAATTCAGTGTGAGAGTACACAAACTGTGCATGTGTATGTTGGTAAGAGTGTGCTTGCGGAGGAGGAGGTTATAAATGTGATAGAGCCTCTGAGGGGTGTGTATGTGTGTGTGCGTGTGTGCATGTGTGTGTGTGTGTGTGTGTGTGTGTGTGTGTGTGTTGTCAGCTTGTTTCCTGCCCTCGCTGATGAACAGATGAGGTTGTCTAGGCAACGTGATGAGACACAGATATGCAAATGAGAGGGGGAGAGTGAGCTTGCACGCACACACTGCAGTATGAGGCTCTCATTTTCACTCTCTCTTACACACACGTCCTGCTGATACTGCAGCACTGCCTCGTACAATCAGACACACTCATCACAGGCACATTAAAAACGCAGATACATGCAGATAATGCTAAGAGAAAAATGCTCTAGTATTTTTCACTCACAGTATACACACAACATGCAACAATATACACATGCACATACACACACACATATGAAAAACAAAGCACATCATGAATAATAATAATAATAATAATAATAATAAATCCCACAAACGTCACATACACCCCCTTTAGTGTCTTACCGGTTGGCCTGAACCAGGGCTGGAGCAATAAATGGTGTATTTACGTATGATGCCATTAGGTTTGTTAGGAGGGAGCCAGGATACCACAACACTCGTAGCAGAGGAGGGGACAGCTTTGATGCCTGCTGGAGGGCCAGGGTCTGAGAGAGCAAGGGAAAACAAAACAAAATAAAACACTTTCAAAAACAATTTTTAATCAGCAAAAATAGGACATACGTTTCCCATCACTGAGAAAGCTCTACACAGACTTATTTAAAAGTACAGTGTATAAGGTGAGTGTGTTTACACAGGAGTACAGTATGCATATGTAGTTTAAGGATTTTGAGAGGCATTAAAGTGAGCAGGGCTGTTTGCAGCTTTGCTGGACTTAGCCTTTAATTTTAAGAGGCTCTGACGAGTAAGAACTCATGAAAAAAAAAAGAATCAGAGACAGAGACAAAGAGATAGAGAGACAGATGTTGGCACAGTAACATATGTTTATCTTAACACATACTATGCAGAGGAAGTGGTCTATGTGTGCTTGTAAGAGTGGGCTTTTGTGGTGTCTGTAGGTTTAAGGGGGTTTTAAGAAAAAGCACATCAGCATTTAGACGTTTAGTCTAGCAAGGGTTAATTATCTCTCTTAGGCTTCCATGGGACATAGAACTAGCCAGTAATGTTATGTTGTGGGTAGTGATGCGTTTTTACACATCAGTGCTTTCTACTTTTCTGCCTCTCATGTGTAGGAACAAAGGTAAGCTAAGAAGAGCCTTTGAGAAGTAATTTTTTTGGTGAATGTAGTGAAAACTAAAAAAAAATATTTTGTTTTCAAAAATATGACTCTGTCAAACCCTGAGGGGATTTAGTTATGGTTCATAAAGGATAGCTGATCAGAGCCAATATGCACACAAGTACACTGAAGCTGGAGGTAAGGCTTGTGGAATTGTTTGTTTTGTTTACTTTTTCTTTTATGTCTTTCTTTAATTCCAGTGCTGTAACTCTTTATTTGCTTGCACAGAAAAGATTTACAACAGGCTACAACACAACAGCAATATGGACATTCAAGGGGCTTTCAACTCTAACTGTAAGGCCCTAAAACGCTTCATGTTGCACTGGCACCTGATTCAACTTCAGTCAGGTGTAAAATGTATGTAGCCAATGAATAAGTGAATGGCTAATTACCTTTTCATACAGAGCCCTCAGTGTTATAGAAAAGTCTTCATTAGAAACTAACTTTTTTTTAATGTTTTGATAACAACCATATATTAAAACATCACAATATAAAATGCACAAAACTATAAATGGGGCCGATACGTTGCCTTTTCAAATGGTGTCTTGTATGTCGAGAAAAATTAAATCGTACACAATATTGTGGAAGAGTTCTGCAACCAGGGATCAGCACACATGCACACACATACAAGAAAACATGACCTATAGACTTTCAAAAACACTAAAGCTGGGGGCAATCCTCAGAATGAGGGAGAAATAAAAAACTCTACAAAAATCCGTTCTCCATATGCTGGACATGGAGCCAGAGGCACTGGGAAAGAGAGCCAGTTAAAAAGGAGAGCAGAGAGAAAGAGGAAAAACATCCACTGGGAAAAATGAGAGTGAACTGATGCATAAAGCATGCACACAAACACACAAATCACAATATTTTTCTCTCCCAAGGAAGAGACTTGGGTGCTTACACTTATCCACGTCTCCTCTGTCTCTCATTTGCTGCCTAGACACTGCTCTTTTAGGCGCCCCCTGAACGCCCCCACCCCAGGGAAAGAGGGAGACAGATAGGGCTCTAATCCTAAGCGTACCAGTGTAAGCACAAACCTAATGCCTGCTAATCCACAAAGAATTAATCCTTCTCCTTGTGTTGGATAGTAAGCTTGGCTGTGCTATGACAGAAACACAAGTACTCACACTTCAAGTCTCCACCCTTTGGCATTTTAATTCTCATTAGCAGTGGCAATGCCACCTCATTGTTCAATTTGCATACACTTTTCTTTTTGCATATGTAGGCATTTGAGCAGGAATGGAACATTAACGTTTCTTTGTGTGTGTGTGTGTTTGTGTGTGTATGTGTGAGTGTGTGTTTACTCACGGTCCTCTCGGGTCTGTATATAGAGAACGTTGCTGCGAACCCCATCCCCTGCTTGTGTGTAGGCCAGCACCTGGACACTGTAGTTTGTGAATTTCTCCAAGCCCTTCAGCTCCACCTGTTCACGAGTAGTAGTGATGTTCTGCATCTCACCCCATTCTGAGAGGGAGGGTTGGACGGTTAATAACTACATGAACTTGCTAGCAGTTCAGCAGTACAACCACAGTAATACACTGTGCTAAATGACAAAAGATAAGAATTAAATAAGGTCAAATAAGGAATTACTGGATCATAGACCACTCACAGTAAACCACACCCACACTCACACACATCTACTGGATTACAGACTACAGACATATACACACACATATACATATGGGTAACACTTTACAATACTGTTTTGTAGTTAATAAGTAACTAATCAGGAACAAAGCAGGAACAAATGAGTAGTGCTGCATTAACACTTAAGTAACTACTCTTAACTACCAAGGACTACTAGTTAACTACTTAGTAGGTAATAGTGAACTAATGATTAGGGTAGTTCACTATTAAATAAACAATAACTACTGAGTCTCATAGAGAATTTTTTAGTAACTATGGTTTCTTAGAATAACTACTCATAAATTACTGATCAATGCAACATTAATTGCTCAATAGCTGAGTCTGACAAGGTTCTTGCTGAACTATTAACTGATGTAGTGTATTCCAACACTTCTAACAGTAGTGAAATACACTACACTCTGTGCAATCTCTACAAGATAATGGATTATATCCTCCATTTCTATTCACAGAAACAGGTATCCTCAGAGAAGGCTGGGGGCATCACACCACACTGTGCTGACTGCTGTCCCTCATGTGTGTATTTTGATCAGAAACCTTAAAAGGCTAATGCACATCTTCATAATTGGCAGTGTGAACCAATTTGCACATCAGCCTACAAATAGGACAACTGCTAAAATACTACAGTATTCACTACACTAGACCAGTCTGCTTACCTCTCATCTTTAGTAATGAAAACACCATGCTTTTCTGCAGGAGCATGTGTACCAGTGTTTCTTCTGAACAACAGTCAAACTAATCCACTGACTTGCAAAAACCTCACAGGCACTGAACAGAAACATCAAAGCTATCAAAATAAGAATCCTGTGCAACTCTACTGTTAAATGTAAGTTTTTTTTAATTCAATAGAACTCATATTTAGCTGGCTATATATGATATAGCTAGCTAACTCAGGGATGTTTTCACATTTGGACTGTTCACAAATAAAAAATGAGTTAATAAACAACTTCTTTACTCTTACTTTTTTCAAAATTTCTTTATTAATATTTTTTGTACTACATCATTTATTTAGAGGTTTTTATTTCTAATGTAGTTCAATTAATATTACTGTTCCTGATCATCATTGGGTTACCATGTGTTTCACTTTATAATACTGTTCCAGATCAGCATTAACTCCTAGTTCATTTATAATGAGTTACCATGTGTTTCACTTTATAGTGTTCCTGATCATGATTAACTCCTAGTTCATTAATAATGAGTTACCATGTGTTTCACTTTATAGTGTTCCTGATCATCATTAACTCCTAGTTCATTAGTAATGTGTTACCATGTATTTCACTTTATACTGTTCCAGATCATAATTATCTCCTAGTTCATCAGTAATGAGTTACCATGTGTTTCACTTTATGATACTGTTCCTGATCATCATTAACTCCTAGTTCATTAGCAATGAGTTGCCATGTGTTTCACTTATAATACTATTCCCGATCATCATTAACTCGTAGTTCATTAATAATGAGTTACCATTGTTTCATTTTATATTGTTCCTGATCATCATTAGCTCTTAATGAAGAACAGCAATACCTCATTTATTATCTAACACAGAGTAATATTTAGAACAAAGTGAATTTGAAGGCAGGACACATACACATTCAGATATTTCCACGAGCCCTCTCTTCAACTGTCCCTGCCCTCAAGAGGACTTTAAATGAGAACTATTGTTCAGAAGAAACACTGGCACACGTGCTCCTGCAGACAAGAATGGTGTTTTCTAAAGATGAGAGGTAAGCAGACTGGTATAGTGAATACTGTACTATTTTAGCAGTTGTCCTATTTGTAGGCTGATGTGCAAATCACACTGCCAAATATGAAGATGTGCATTAGCCTTTTAAGGCTTCTGATCAAACCAAACACATGAAGGACAGCAGTCAGCACAGTGTGGTGTGATGCCCCCAGCCTTCTCTGAGGATACCTGTTTAGAAATGGAAGGATATAAATAGAAATGGAGGATATAATCCATTATCTTGTAGAGATTGCACAGAGTGTAGTGTATTTCACTACTGTTAGAAGTGTTGGAATACACTACATCAGTTAGTAGTTCAGCAGGAACCTTGTCAGACTCAGCTATTGAGCAATTAATGTTGAACAGATGAGTAATTTATGAGTAGTTATTCTAAGAAACCATAGTTAGTAAGAAATTCTCTATGAGACTCAGTAGTTATTGTTTATTTAATAGTGAACTATCCTAATCATTAGTTCACTATTGCCTATGGAGTAGTTACCTAGGAGTCATTGGTAGTTAAGAGAAGTTACTTAAGTGTTAATGGAGCACTACTCATTTGTTCCTGCTTAGTTCCTGATTAGTTACTTATTAATTAACAGTATTGTAAAGTGTTACCTACATATGTACTCGTGTCCTCCAGATTTTTTTTCTTACAGACATGCATCAAATATTGTATATATTTTTAGATACACAAACACACACACATATATACACACACACACATATATATATATATATATATATATATATATATATATATAGAGAGAGAGAGAGAGAGAGAGAGAGCGAGAGAGAGAGAGAGAGAGAGAGAGTCCCCGCCACAATTATTGGCACCCCTGGTAAAGATGAGCAAAAATGGTTATAATAAATTCAATTTGGCAAATTAAGTTTATCTCACACTGAGAAAATGATAATAATCCAACCTTAGAGTAAGCTTATTCTGAGACAAAAAAATGAACAGAACCACATGTGACACAATTATTGGTGCTCCTAAATTCTTAGAAACAAAATGTAACTAAAGATTTTTTTTCATTTATATTTTACTTTAAGTTGATCAGAATGTCTAGGAACCTTTAAGCAATAATTTATGACCACACACTGTGAGGAGGCTGGCAAGAGAGGCAAAACAAAAACCCAAGGATCACTGTTGAAGAGTTAAAGAAAAACATAGCATCTTGGGGTCACTAAGTTTCCAAAACTAACATCAGACACCACGTCCATGCCAAGAGATTGTTTGGAAGGCATGCCAGGAAAAATGTATTTAAAAAATGCTAACGCTACTGGGACTTTGTCTGGAACCGTTTTTTGGCCAGATGAACCAAAAAATTAGCTTTTAGGCAAGAAACACTCAAGGTAAAAAAAAAGGACCTGATTCCCACCATTAAGAATGGAGTAGGGTCTTTGATGTGGGTTGTGGGGCTGTTCTCTGGGAGGTCCTGGGAACCTCATTAGGGGACATGGCATCCTGAAATACCAGGACATTTTAAATCAAAATCTGTCTGCCTCTGCCAAGAAACTGAAATAGGTTGCCATTGGATCATTCAGCAGGACACTGGTCCAAAACATGTCCAGATCAACACAAAACAGGTTTACTGAACTCAAAATCAAGCTTTAAGATTCTGATCTAAACCCCACAGAAAACCTGTGGGGTGAGTTAAAGAGCAGAGCACACAGGAGAGGACCTAGGATCCTATATATAGGATCATATATATATATATATATATATATATATATATATATATATATATATATATATATGTCATATGGGTCTACCAGCAGTGGCAAAAATTACAGTCGACAGGTAATTTTAGGACTTGTGGATAAGAACTGCTTCACTTCCAGGCAAGAATTACTTCTAGAAGTCAACGCAGGTCCTTCACAACCAATTTCTGAACAAACACACAGGGAACTGTGTACCTTAAACATATGGAGCAGAGTGGCACACAAGAGGCTTTTGCTCACTTCTGGTCACAAAGTTGCCTGGTTATAGTGGGCGAAGAGACATAAGAATTGGACTGTTCATGACTGGAAACTATCTGGTCTCATTTCTGCCTGTATGTGAAAGATGCTAGGCATCATGGTCATCATAGACCTCAGCTAGCCTTTAATGAGGACTGCGTGCAAGGTGTGGTTCAAGCTGGAGGAGGCTCTGTGATGTTCTGGGAGTGTTTTAATTATATTGAAATGGGTCCTTTGGTTGAAGTAACAGTAAATTTGAAACACAGTGCCTACAATGAGCAGCTGGACAACTAGGTTTTGCCTTTTGCTCATCATCTTTCCGAGGAACATATTCCTATCCCTGTATTCCAAGATGACAAGTCTCGCATTCATTGGCATGATAAACATTCAGGAGCATTCACACATCTGGACTGGCCCACAAAATCCCCAGATTTAAATCCTCTTGAAAATCTGTGAGACTTCCTGGAACAACAAGTAAGACGCCAGGGAAGACATCCATAAAATCTGGCTGAACTGCGCAATTCTTTGATGCAAGAGTGGCTGAACATTGATGTCGCCTACATCCAAAAACTTGTCCAGTCCATGCCAAATTGAATCACAGCTATTGTTCGTGCTTGTGGAGGTATAAGGTATGTTTCAGGTGACAAATTTTTTGTCCGGTGAGCTTTAATTGCATTTTTCTCCAAGCAAAGAAGAACTGTCAGCCAGGCTCAGAAATTCAATTTGACCTTTTTGTTTATTTAAGTTTTCAAACATTGTGATATATTTGGATTTTAAACACATTATTTATCAAAAAGCAATGGAGATAAATAGACTACATAACTGTAGGAAATACCAGATTCCTCAATATTATGTCTCCTACATCCACAAGCCATGTTTATCACCATTTTTCCAGCATCCATTAGAATATACAAATGGATGAAGCGTTAAGACTTGATAACAGCATCAAAATGCCATCATGATGTAGTAGCACAGATCTCAGTCACAATCAGATAATACACTTAAATGGACATTCTGTACACTGAAATGTGCATCTTTTTTGATTTGGTTGGTTGCATTCTACAAAACTCAACTGATTCAATGAAAAAATGTAGTTCAATTCAAAATTGACATTGTAAAGAATTATAAAAGAACAGCTCCAAGCCCATAATGGGCAAGCCAAGGTATCACTAATTAGATGGTGCCTCTGCTCTAAAAAAAACTATTTAGATGCCAATTCTATAATCCTAAGCATGAAGTATGATAGTAGATCTGTGATATTGTGGGGTAGTTTTAATTCTGAAGACCCTGAGAATCTTGTTGAGACAGGGTGTCACAGACTCAAACATCAGCCTCAAATATGAAGGAATTGCAGATAAAAATCTAAATCCTTTTACCACAAAGACTTAGTTGTCATAGTTGAATCTTCTAGCAGAACAAAGAATACTCCCAAATACACACATAACTTGCCTAATGACCACTTTTTCAGATTTTTGCAGTGTCTGTTCAGTGTTGTTCAAGGATCAAGAACTCTGAGGGATCTGGAGAGATTTTATATGGTCTCAGATCCTTTTATATGTGTTCACCAACCTAATTCAGCATTCTAAAAGAAGATGTTTTCTTAAGAGGGGAGGATACACAAAGTATTAAATAATAGAGTGCCAATTACTGTAAAGCAAGAATTTTTTTTTCATATGGATTTTTTTTACCTCACTGAATAGACAGATTTCTCTCACTGTTTCAGTGCAAGATCAACATTAACTACTGATAAATTACAAATCACATTTTTTCATAGCTGTTTTAGTAATCTTTACTAAGCATATCATAGATTCTGGAGGACAACAAGAGAAACAAAAAAAAAATACAAGACAAATCCACAGTTCTTAAAACATAAAATTGAATTGAGGCATAGGTTATAAGGAAAAGAGGTTGGGAAAGAAGAGTGGAAGTAACAGTAGTAGTATATAATTACTCTGGTTCAGCCCCAGCGCCTGGCTCCCACAGCACCCACCTCCATCGGGGAAGACAGACCAGAAGACCACACGGTAACCCTTCAGGACCCCGTTCAGGGTCATCCGTGGAGGTTCAGCCCATGTGATGACTGCCTCGTCTGATGTCACTGTAATGGCCCGCACATTCTGAGGAGGTTGGCTGGGCACTGAGAGAGAGAGAGAAAGAGTCAAATCAGGCTCATAAAGATTAGGGGAGTAGGAATATGCAAAATTTCACGACATGATACTGTTGTTTTTGCACCACAAAATATATGTATTACTTGATTTGGAAACTCACTACCAAAATATATTGGTAAAAAAGACAACAGTGCCAGGTAAGGGGATTACTGGCACAAGTAATTTCTTTTAAGACATAAAATATATGTGAAAAATATATAAACCCATATTTTTGTGGCTCATAATAATAAAAGTAACAAAAAAATATTGACTATAAGTCTACATCTCAAAATACACTATGCAAATTGTGTCTTCTCACCTGCCTAAAATGGGTGAGAGTTGAGATTTTCTTATGCACCTAAATCACTCATAGCAAACTGTGCATTTCAGGACAATCTAAAAATAGTGGTGCAAACTGGAAGCTACAAACTGATTCAGAATCGGCACGTATTGGCTGCTTGAATCCTGTGGGGAGAAGTAGCTGTTGTGTCTCCAGTTTTTTCCTTGCTCTGGTAAGTGACTCATTTGAGTAATGTCATCACAAATGAGTTAGGGTATTTGAGGTGTTAGTACAGGGGTTTTATTTTAGTGTTTAGCAATGTTGGCACACTGTCTCTATTCAATCTGCCACTCTTTGCCCATCAATATTGTACTTGATATTGTACAATATTGTACACCAAAGTGCTAACTTTAAAGAATTAAATCTAACTGTTTCATAGAATGACATCTAACAAATTCGTAGTGTATTGGCAATTTCAAAAGTGTATCGTCTGGCAACACCCGTATCAAAAAATATGTTTGTATTAACATGCACATTGTGACACCCTTAATAAAGATCAATATTAATCTCATGAGAAACAGACATTTGTCAGTCCATACAAAGGAACGCTCACTTCAAAGTAGAAGGATATATCTTGGATTACATCTTCATAGTAAATCAATTCTATAATTTTCAATAATTTATAATAATAAATACCAGCAAATAAGAGTATTCAGAACCGCTTAGTAAAAAATATTGCAGAATATACTCAAAAATTAAGTTCAAGATGGTATGGTTACCACTGCTTCTCTCAAATGCAGAAGCAATGAAATGTCCTTTTGAATTCCAGTTTTTGTTGTAACATTCACTAACACTTTCCTTTCTGCCCGGATATGTGGTGAATGTGGCCATGGTGAGGGGCCAAATGGTGCTCCTGAATAAAGAAGGCCACTATTGAGGTAAGACAGAGCACGTCTGTGTGCCTTTTGCTGGGAGAGAATGCATGTGCGTGAAGGACAGGATGAAAGGAGGGGGTGAGATAGAGGAGGGATAAAGCTGGCCTGCCTCTTTGCAGGAGCAGCTGCAGCTGGCGCAGGAAGAGAGGGAGCAAGAAAAGTCAAAGAGAGTGAAAGAAGGGGAGGAGGAGGGCAAAAAGAAAACACTGTATTTGTCTGAACAAGCCTCAGGGCCTGACTCGGCTCAGCCTCTGCGGACCGCACTCTAATCGTCATTCAGAAGACTGCAGTTTCAGTCTATGCGTGAGTCTAACTCTGTCTCATTCACAGTTTCAGTCCCCTTTCTTGATCTCTTGCACAGACAGCTCTCACAACCAGACATCTTTAAAGATAATGACTGATGATACCAGAATATGAACTGTATAATAAGTAGAAGTAAATTATGCAGAAATATAGGCAGGAGCAAGAGTGATTGCAGGAGAAGTTTACCAGAGAAAGAAAAATAAATGAAAGGTGTTTTAGAGTGAGTGAGAGAGAGTTGAAAGCCAGAGTGAGGGATGAGAAAGAGAGAAGAGAGGATGCAATGCACTCAGCTGCAGATAATTACACTGAGAGAAAAAGCAGTGGAAAGGGGAGAAGGGCCTCTGCAGACAAGCTAATTATAATTATTTTTAGTACGTGTGTTGTTATTACTATTATCTTAAACACCATCAATATCACTGTCACAAGGGGACAGTGACACACTAGTGTTTGAGGTCTCTGGACTAGAGGGGCTCTTCTGTACCCACCCACATGCACACACATAAACCTCAACGGAAGAAACACACCCGAGGGTTATTGCAAAGAGTGTAAGTTGCCGTATGTGCTTGTTTCGAGGTAGAAAAAAAAAGAAACATTTGTAAAAGTGACTGACGACTGATTCTGAATAGCCAACGTATATTTTTGTGCATTTACCATCTTCCAGAGTGGTAGCATTAATCTCTGAGCTGGAAGGTCCTGTTCCGGCTCGGTTGAAAGCCTGCACCACCACTCCATACTGGGCAAATTTCTTCAGGTTATCCAGTGTGTATACCTCACTGTCTCCTGTTGCTTTCATTTCCACTATGCTGTATTGGCCATTACTGCCAGGCCCATTCTCCCTGTAGCCAATTTGATAGCCACGGATCACTCCATTCTGAAGCTCCTTCTTAGGGGCCTAGGGGAAGGAAACAGGGCATAATTGTTGAATGAGAGCATGGTCATAAGAACTCTTCCAATTTCTTAGGCTTATTGCCATTGCAGTTGGAATTGGAAAACAAATCCAAATTCTGGCCCAAGCTGTGCACCTTCCAAGTGACACGGATGCTCTGTGACGTCATAGGTTGCAGAATAACATCCATGGGTGGCCCGTCAGGAGCTGTGACGAAAAATAAATGAGACTCGTTAAAAACAAGTTATGATCAGCTACTCTGTAATGTGGTTCTGTTGGTATTCGAATATATAAGTGTGTAAGTGTGTAAACCTACGAGCTTCCTCTGTGCTGATGGTCAGTTCTTTGCTGGCCTGACTACGGCCAATTTTGTTGTATGAGTACATGCGGATGCTGTAGACAGAAGCAGGATGTAGCTCTACTATGTTGGCCTGGTTATTGGTGGGGGAGATTTTGCGTGTAGCATGCTTCAGTTCCCATGGGTCTATGAAGAGGGGAAAAGAATATCACATTAAAAATATACAATACCTGGGATGCGGGTTTTAAGTCAAGGGTGCTGAAATTTTAAGCAGCATTAACGTAATATGAACAAGTATAGTGATACTGCACTATAAAGAAGTGAGAGACGACAATACATAAATATTGGCAGATTAACTGACACATCAGACCGCTGATGCACATCCTCTCATTCTGGACAAACTTTATGCAAATGAACAGAGCGGCGACCAAACAGATTGTCAATATGTAGCACAGTTGTGTCATGCTCAAAGTCAACTGAGAAATAATATAGATATGCACACTCAGTGGGAGAAATAAAGAATAATAAAACATCATTATTACAATATGTTATGTTTTGTAAAAGTTTAATAACAGTATTAGGCTGCTTTGTTGTTCAGAACTGGCCTCTGTTTCTACACTTTCACTTTTTGCACCTCAACCTGCATGTTGCAACATGTACAATACTCATGAATACACTGGACCGCACTCAATTACAGTGCAGTGCACTGTGTTTATATTTTTAGTGTATTCATTAGTAAAGAGGTGAAAGTATGAAAAGTATATAAAAACAACTTGTTAATGTCCGAAATAAACCAGGAACCTATAGAGGTGCTCTGTACTCTGTAAGGATTACATACCAGATTTGTTTTTGTATTCAATGTCGTAACTGGTGATGATGCTGTTGCCATCAAACCTCTGGGTCCATCTTAAGTTCATGCTGCGATCCTTCACCTCACGAACCTCTAACTCTGGAGGATCAGGTGGCTCTGAAATACAAAAGAAGTAACAAAAAACTGTCATAAGATTAGACAAAGAAACAGAAATAGACATAGAGAGAGATTGATTTAAAGATAAAAAGAAAGAAAGAGAGAGAGAGAGAGAGACAGAGAGAGAAAGAGAGAGATGAGGATAACAAGAGAAGAGAGGTGGAGCAAGGTGATAAATTATTGATTTTGTGTCTCTAGATAAGGTGTATCATGTCAGACTTGAGTGCGGTCTTCATGGCTGATTGTCTTGCCTTGCACAGTCAGTTGAATGAGGCCGCGGCCTTCGCCGTAGGAGTTGATAGCATGACAGGAGAAGAAAACAGAGTCCCCACGCTCAGCTGGCTTCAACTACAGAGAGAGAGAGAGAGAGAGAGAGAGAGAGAGAGAGAGAGAGAGAGAGAGAAAGAGAGAGAAAGAGAGAGAAAGAGATAGAGAGAGAGAAAGAACATTCATGAACAGGTAAGAGTGGCTCATCACATCATTTTCACTCAAGTTTTGTATGAAAGGTTGTCATCTTCTTCCATTGTCCATGAGGTTTAATTTCAGGCCATGGCTAGTATCGCCAATCATCCACTCTGTCTTTATTACTTGATTTGGAAAGTCACTACCATGCTATAGAATAGGGGTGCAACAATTATTCGACTTAGTCAAATCGACGACCAAATTAGTTGGCAACTAATTTAACAGTCGTTTATTTGGTGACGTTATTACACCTCTTTCTCGCGCTCACTAGGAATGTTTTGACATTAGCGCTTACTGGAGAGTTCACAAAAAAGCGGGATGTCAGCCTCAAAAACAAAACCCTCAAAAGTGTGGGAGCATTTCACGCTAAACTCAGTTGTCAGTTGTGCTATTTGTAAAGTCGACCTTAGCTGGCATGGGAGCACATCCTCCATGCTGGAGCATCTGAAGAGGAAACTCAGCTCACTGCATGAAGAAGATTCATCTCTGCAAGATACATCTCATCCCAAAACACATAGTACACTAAATAGTGTGTAAAAATAGCGCATATACCATTAGAAGTGCACTCATTAGTGTAGTATGTGAAGTAGAGAAAAGTGTGTGGTTTGGGACGCGGCGATAGTTGTGCTAGCGAGCTAGTTAGCTAATGTTGTTGTTAAAAGCCTTCCTATTTCATGTTATGAGCTGAGCTGTAATTTTGTATTTCAAAATGCATTTTCTCTTGAATCGTTAATAGAGTTGGAACAGAGAAGCAAGTAACTATTATTCACAGCGACCCTGCTCACTTTCCAGATAATGTTTGTAATGTTTACAAAAAACACTGCATCGTTGTCTTAATGTTGAGGCCACAGGTGCGGTTAAATTTGGCGAACACAGGAGAGCGTTTGTAAACAGTTTTCTGTTTTCCGCTAACATTGGCCACCACTCGCAAATAGTTTCAGGAGTTAGTTCTCTGTGAACATACAGGGCAGCTGGACGAAGGGTTACCGCTGAAATGAAATGTTTACACAAAGTCATTCAAATTTAACTGTCCACAGAGAACAGGTTTGTGACAAACTTTTGTTGCTTTCCCATCCGCTCCTTCAGAGCCCATTGTGTCTGCATTAGGGAATATCTGCAAGACTCTCACAAGAGCACGAAGAGATGCTGACTTTCCTCCATTTCAATAAAGACCTGTGACTGTAGAATTTAGTTGCAACAGAGTGTAGACAGACAGCAGAATGCATAAAGCACAGACTGCACTGTTTAAATTTAGATTGTTTTTTTTTTACTTGATTAAAGATAAACTGTTTTAGATTTGTTATATTTTATTGCCGCTACCTTGCATAGTGAATTATTGAATGTTATTCATCTTTGTCTTCATTGTTAGTTAGCATAAAAACAAAACAGAGTTGATGGTAATGCAGTTTTTCATAATCTGAATAATCAATTATTCGTTGCGTTGTAACATTGGTTATGATTGGTATGTTTCATTACAATACCTTCATTTTGTCTCCTTGATTTGCAGATTGTGTGTGTTTGTGAGAGTTGTCTTACCTTCAGTGTGGAGATCACCTCATCGCTCTTCTCATTGGGGCTGGTAGTAATGGAGTAGCGAGGGTTGCGGTCGGGGTCGATGACCGTGTCACCCCGTTCCCAACGGATGATGATAGGGTACTCGCCCCTTGCAGTGCAGTTCAGCTCCTTATTCTGACCCTTTATGGCCATAGTGGTGTTGGGATGAGAGGTGATCATGGCTGGGACTGAGAGAGAGAGAGAGAGAGAGAGAGAGAGAGAGAATACAGGAACGAGAAGAGAAATCGTGGTCAGAAATAGACAATGTTTGTGGTAGTGTTAAAGTGAAGTGCCATCAAGGTCAGTGTGATGTAAGAACAACTTTGTACACCACATCTACTTTCTTCTCCTCAACTGCTTCTTCACACTCACTCATACTGCATCCCCCTCCCTCGAACTCTCACTTATTGATCTGAGAGGGTTCCGCTGTTTTGTTTTCATCACTTATTTATTGTTCCCTCCCTCCACTGAGTGAAGCAGACAGGATTGAGGGAGGCAGAGGAGAGGAATGATTCAATCAATAACACCAACATGGCTAAAACATATTCTCAGAAGTCATGATTGCAACAGCTTTGCCCCTTTGCTGAAAAAATTTTTTATGACACATATATAACCTATTATTGACTGCGCTTATTCTATATGACCAATTTTTTTTCATTTTGCATACTTAATGTATGTGAGGAAACAAAGTCTGCTTCACCAGATAGGCCAAATATAAACATAGAATACTCAAAATGATTTTATTAAAACGCATGCTTTCAGTACATTATCTAGAGGTTTGATAATAACAGTAATAATAAAAAAAACTTTATTTACATTCTGCACTTTGAAAGCCTCACATATTCATTTATAAAAGGACAAAACAATATAGTATAACTTATCCCCAGAAGTATAACTTATCCCCAGAGCATGACAAGTAGTAAACATGACATATATTTCATGATATAAAGTGTGCAATCTAATATTAATACATTTTCATGTAGTTTGACTCACTTTTGACGGTGAGCAACATGCTCTTGCTGATATCAGAGCCCACTCCATTGCTGGCCTGGCACAGATAGTACCCACGGTCCTCCTCCAAAACGTGCCTGATTAGGAGAGACCCATTGGGCATAATCTGGATGCGGCCAGTCAGAGGAACTGGGTGGTATTGCTGTGGGTTTCCAATACCTGGAAAACCAAAATGCAAAATGTTTAAGTATTACAACTGTAATTTGTAGTAAGCTGGTATACAAGTTGAAATTCTTGCTGAGGTATGAGGTTTGTCATAATATTTATATATATTTTTATAATTTATATAAAAATAAATATATAAATATATAACTCTCTCTCTCTCTCTCTATATATATATATATATATATATATATATATATATATATATACATATATATATATATATATATACTCACACACACAAACCATGCAAACTTTTATATTACAATGATAAAAAACTAATCTAATCAAAAAGTACTAATCAAACTAATTATATTGGAGATCCTTATAAAACACAATCTATTTTATAATAGAACAATATAAAGTGAATGCTAAAATATTTTAGTGCAGTTGTCCTGTAATCTAAAGCTGTTTTCAGAGTGTCAGAGTATTAGTCCATATTAACTTTTAAAATATGTGGCATTTGGAAATTGGTAGTACCTTTGGCATGTTTCCACATAACTTTGGGAGGAGGATAGCCATCCACAGAGCAGTTTAGAACTCCAGACTTGCCATAGATTCCATCCTGGTTGTTAGGCTGAACCCGAAAGCGAGGGGGAACTGGGAAAATGCAGAGATTTTGATGCTCATTACATCAGCTCATATTACTACCCAACTTACATGTTGGTTAAGCCCTAAGTTGGGTTAGTGGGTAAAGTACTTGACTGATAATCTCACCAGTGACTATGAGCTGTCTCTCAGAGCTGACGGTGGCCGCATCGTTGCTGGCAATGCAGGTGTAGTTGCCGTTGTGCTTGAGGGACACTTTGGAGATCTGCAGTGAGCTCATGAACTCCTTAGTCTCAATGGTGACACCAGAGGTGCCTGACACAATCTCCTGGCCATCTTTTCGCCAGGTTATCCGAATGGGCATGTCTCCGGACGACACCACACATGCTATGTACATCAACTTACCAATGGAAGTAGGGGGAAAGTCAAAGGGCTGGATGAGAGGAGGGACTGAGAGAGGAATAAGAATAGAGAAGGAATGAGGAAGACAGGGAGAGAGGGAGATGGGGGGAGAGAAGAATTTAGTATTTAATACTGAAAGTTGATATGTATACCTCTTTATGATCTGCAGTGTAATCTCTCTCTCCTGTCGTCCCACACACATGCACCACCTCTCTGTCCCTCCAGACCATAATAGCTGCTCTAATTAGAGCCCAATTGGCATGGGGAATAATGGTGCTGCCATGGAAACTGAGGTGGGGGGCTACATTGGAGACATCTGGGGGATTTAATCTGGGGCTCGTTAAAATTCAGCTAATTAAATCAGAGACATGACAAGACAAGCAGCACACTATACTGCCTTCACACTGGAGTCAGTGTTCTCTTGTACTGGCAGACACACACACAGAAAACACACACAAAGTGGACTTTACTGCCCTTGTATTAGAAGCTGAATCCTGTTGTGAGTACTATGAACCTTGTGATGTCCATGAGCATCAGCTAGCACCTTCTCATTCATTTTTAACTGAACCGACTGAAAAGCATGTACATCCCAACCCCCCACAACACACACACACACTGATGAATAGCTATAAAGCTACAGCAAGCCACTAATTCTCTTAAACAAAGACCATTAACAATGGTCTTGGTCTCTGGGTTTCCAGGTCTGTTTTAATGAGGAGACCATCCTCAGTCTTAACCACACACAACAAGCTAAAGCTTCTCTGCACTCAAACTCCCCACTAACTACTTAATTTATTGACCTTTACTTTCACTACTCTCTGAGTACCTAAATACTGTTTACTTAACCAGGCACCCACTATAGCAGGCAACATCACAAGAGATCCTTGATGGAGAGGCTACAGAGTATTATACCTTTATAAACTAGTATTAAAACTACAAAAAATAAAACTCACATAAACTATTAAAACTACAAAAATAAAAACTCACATACAAAACAAATTAAGCTTTGTTCAGAATGCATAATTTGGTTGAACAAATTCAATATTATCAAACACTACTAAAGGAATGGTTGGGGAAAAATCTAAAGTACACAATTGTCCACTTAACATAAATGTAATCGATCTTTAGTGGCAAATAAATTATCACCCACACAACTTTAAGCTTTCTGGTATATTTATGTATTCAAACTTTGCAAAATGTTGTGCAGGGATGTACTACTTCCAAGCAGTGAATGTGTGGTAAACTTTAGCTACCATTTTGTTTGGATTTTTGTTTATTGGCATGCTATAAGTATACTATGTCTTCAAATGTATTCAAACACTCCTCTTATCAGCTACACAATATGGTCAAAAGAATGTAGACACCTGACCATCACACCTTTTATGATCTTGTTGGACATCCTATTCCATAACCACAGCCGTTAGTGGAGAGTCACTCCACATCCCACCCCTTTGCGGCTAGAAGAGCCTCCACTTTTTCCAGAAGAGTTTGGAATATGTGGAAATTTGTCCTCATTCAGTCAAAATTGCATTTGGGAGGTCAGGCACTGATGATTGGACGAGAAAGTCTGGCTTGCAATCAATGTTCCAAATTATCCCAAGGGTGGTCAATGGGGTTGGCATTGCACATAGTGCTCACACCTACCTTGTTTGGTCCCGACCTTCGGACTTCTCAGTTTGGTCTGATATAGCAAAATAGCAGGTGTGAAAGGAGCCTCAATCACGGCCCGAACCAAAGGACCAAAATCTGTCCCGACCAAACGAGGTGGTCTCAATCCAGATCAAACTGAACCATGGTTTTCGTTTGCAGTAAGCCTTCTGGTGAATGTTGCGCTTGTTTTACCTGCAGAAGCTGTTAAAATCAGTCAAATAGAGACAGCTGTTTTTTTTTCTTTTGTTTTGCTACCATGAGGAAAATGGTGAGTTCGCCTGGTGCGTTTCTCCAGTAAGAGTTGAAAAGTAATCGAGTGTGTAGCCGTCGAGTCGAGTCTAAAGTCATCAAATTTGTGACTCGTGTCGGACTCGAGCCCAAGTCACATGACTTGAGCCCACACCTCTGCCTGTCCCCTACAACTTCCTCCTACTCATTCTGGGGATCCCAAGCTGCTCCCAGGCCAACTTGGAGATATACCACCTCAAGTGGGTCCTGGGACAACCTCAGGGTCTCATCCCAGTTGGCCATGCCTGGTAAATAGGGAGGCGGCCAGGGGGCATCCTAATCAAATGCCCGAACCACCTCAACTGGCTCCTCTCAAAGTGGAGGAGCAGCAGCTCTACTTTGAGCTCCTCCATGATGACTGAGCTCCTCACCCCATCAAGTTGGGTGTAGCCCACCACCCTCTCCTGGGCAGGGTACATGATAAATTACATCAGTTGTTCATAGAGGATTTTGAATTGTGTTAGTCTGGGTGTTCACTCCAGACCTGTTCTCCCTGGGAGACCCTACCAGGAGCATACTACTCCAGATGACTTGAAGAACCCTAGACCACACAAGCCCATGTGAGACTTATGCAGTGACTGAAGTACAAGTACTTAAGTCTATACAATGTAACAAAAACATTAACCTTGATTCGGACTTTCAGGTGTAAAAATGCGCTTAGGCTTGTGTGCAGCTGCTTGGCCTTGGAGATCCATTTCATAAAGGACACACAGTGCTTGTACTGATGTGGCTTCCAGAGGCAGTTTGGAATTCTGAATGAGTGAATGCAACAGAGGATAGATGACTTTTACATCTATTTTCTTTATTTCAAGCAGGGCAGAAACTTTACAAACTGACTTGCGGCAAATGTAGTATCCTATGATAGTGCCATGTTTAAAGTCATTGATCTTTTCAGTCTGACCCATTCTACTGCCACTGTCTGTCTATGAAGACTTCACGGCTATGTCTTTGATTTTATACAACTGTTCGCAATGAGTGTTGCTGAAACATCTGAATGCAATAATTAGGAGGAGTGTCCACATATGTTTGTTCATTTAGGTGCATGCATTGCTGACAAAGACGTTTAACTGAACACAAACAGCTGGTGTAATCTCCTTAAAAAAAGCACTGCCAATGGTTGGTATGCTCTGGAGCAGTCAAGGTCACCATGCCCAATGTCAAGCATTGGCTAGAGTGCTACAAAGAGGAACTATGTTATCTGGAGTGATGAAGCACCAACGAATACCTTTAGGATGAGTTACAATCACTGTTTGTGATCTGAAACTAATCATCCAACATCAGAACCTGACCTCAACTAATGGCCTTGTGACTGAATGCAATCAAATCCTCAAAGTAACAACTGATGTAAAATACTTCCCAGAAAAGTAGAAGCTGTTACTGCTAACTTAATACTCTTGTTTTAGAGTAAATAATAAATGATCAGGTGTCTACAAACTTTGGAATATATAGCTAACATTTTGCAAAATGTAGCTTTGCCTACCTATATCTTTATTGCTTTTTTTGTTTAGTGTTATACTATACAGTAGGGGTGGAAATCTCTAGGCACCTCACGATTCGATTACGATTCAGCGGGCTGCGATGTGATTATAAAACGATTATCGATGCATCTTTTTTTTCTATATAGCATTTAAGTTTCGAGTTCAAGTTTCAAGTTTATTTGTCATTTGCACAACATGTCAGGACATATATGCATTGAAATGCTTGTGGTGAGGCTCAGGTAATCACTCTACAGAAAATAAATAAGTAAAAATAAAAATACAAGAAAAACACAAAATATACACAGAATATAGAGACAACATACATTTTAAAGTGACTAAGTGACTCTGTTATTGTTATTTAAAGTGACTTGGTACTTTTAAAGCAAAGTATTTGTAATGATCCAATATCTTTCTTAATAAAACAAATGGAAGTGATGTGGCAAGTGAACTAACTAGAAGGCTCTCATTCAGTGCTCTTGTTTGGAGCACGAGAAGCTGCTGCTACTCATCTGCAATAAAATGCGCAGTTACGGTGAAATAAGATACAGTCGCAGTGGATGTCCATGCAGCACGTTACAGCTATTCTACCCGTTTTCTTTAGTGATTTTATAACTTCGGTTTTGATCTTGTTGTAGAGACGGGGGGGATCGCTGTGTCAGTAAAGTATCTTTGAGACGGGACCTATGCAACATAGCGCGAAAGCTCTGTTTCGCAACGACTGAGAACTGGCATGCAGACTTGCAGGTCACCTAGCAACAATGCATCATTCGCATTTATAAGCACTGCAGTTGGTTTCCTGGTACGTTAAATCTGCAACGAGAGACTGTCACACACTAAAAAGTGGCGAAGATGAAATCAGCTTCTCTTTCAAATTCTCCTGTTCCACCTTAAATAGTGCCGCATTTAAATTCGGCGCCTCAGTCAGAATTTAAGGAGGAACGAGTAAATAAGAAGCAACTTCAGCCTCGTAGAACAGTCGTTGAGAGACATTTTACAAGAAACTGATCTACTTCTGAGGAAAAGTCTTCTGGTGGAGATGGGAGGAAAGCGGCTATAGCTGAGCTAAAGCTTAAAGCAGAGTTTTCGTTTATATTGTTTAGCCTATACTAGGACATTATCACATACTGGACATTAAATGTTGTGGCTCCCAAGGTGGTTTGATTTTTGTTGAAAGGACAAAATGGTTCCTCTCGTCATTTGGGTTGTGACTCCTGACCTAACCTGGCTTTTAACGCAGCGGGAGCTGGTCAGATTTCTCGCTCAATCCAGTAGTGTTTTTGTTATGTGCCGCCACAGACTGTCTGGGCGCTGCACTTCCGCACTTCCAAGTTCCGCCTTTAGCGTTACGTCAACATTACGTTATAAATGAAATATTTAGAAAATCGATTTTTGATATTTGTGAATCGATTCAGAATAGTTCACGTCCGCATCGTGATGCATCTAAGAATCTATTTTTCCCCGCACCCCTACTATACAGTCATATAAAGATGCAAGTACACCTCATGAAATGTTTTTCTTTTTTTGACATATGTGGACATATTAGTTTTTGATCTCCTGTTAAACAGTATGTATAGATAAATGGTACATAAAAGAACAAAAAAAAAGGAAACTTGATTTGCTATCATTTATTTTAAAAAAGGAACCAATATGTCATTTTTGTCTATTGAAAAAGTTAGTACATCTATGAATTCAGTAACTGGTACTGCCCCCTATGATAGAAACAACTTGATTTCCTATGACTGTCTACCAGTTTCTGACATCTACTGGGAGAGATTTTTGCCCATTCCTACATGCAGAATTCTTTCAACTGTGCAATGTTTGAGGGGTTTCTAGGATGTTCATGCCATTTCAAATCTCCCCAACATTTCAGGGGAGCTTCAGATCTGGGCTTTGACTATGCCATTGGTGGATTTACTTGTATGTTTGGGATCATTATCCTGGTGGAACGAACACTTCTTCAGCTTAAACTTTTTCACAGATGGTCTACCATTCTCCTCAAGCACTCTGGTATGAAAGAATCCACAGTCAATTCTATCTTCGACTTGTTTGTCCATAGCACATTGTTCCAGAAGTCCTGGATTTTGAGTAGATATTCATTAACAAACTTTAGTCTAGCCCTGATGTTCTTCTTAGACAGCAAAGGCTTCCTCCTGGTGCACCTTACACATAGGTCAAATTTGTGCAGTCTTTTTCTAATGGTAGATGCATGCACTTTTAAATCAACAGTGGCGAGAGCTACCTGCAGATCCTGTAATTAAATTTTGGGGATTCCAACATTCCTACATCTTATAGTCTGCTATCAAGTTAAATTTACTGGGGTGGCCTGACCTGGACAAGTAGTGGTTTTAAATCTTCTCCACCTGTAGAAGACTTCCAGAAAGTGGAATGACTGAATTTAATATTTTGAATATATCTTATTAAAGCCCTTTCCAGGCTCACTGGCATCTTAAACTTTCTTTCTGAAGGTATCAGAGAACTCTTTTGATCTAAGCATTATTATACCACACACTCCAATAACAAAGAGCAAACCAGATATCTGGTGTAAATAAGACAAGTTCCTCCTAGTATTCTCCAGCTCCTGATTTCAATTTGACACATTTGATATACGTAGGGATGTACTTACTTTATCCATGTAAATGCATTACTGTCCATTTCAATTGAATAAAGGATGACAAAAATGTTAATTTTAAGTGTCACTTGTTACATTACATCACCTTTATCTATGAACATTGCTTAAATGAAGACTTGTATCTCCAATATCTGTATCTCCAAATATGCTGAAAAGTCTTACTCCACTTCTTGGCTATACTAACCTTGTGGCTAAACCTGTCTCGGCTGATTAACTACATCTGGGGTAATTGGAAAATCATGTAAATTAGATTTTTTTAAACCTAGAATCATTTAGATATGCTTCCTCAGTATGCTAGATACTGTTGTTTTTTTTGAGTGAATGAAGGATCTGTTTTGGAAATACACTGGAGTGAGTCCTTACCTTTCACAGTGACGTAGACGGTCTGGCTGATGGACAGTTGTGGTTGGATAAGCACGCTGCACAGGTATGCCCCCTCATCCATTCCCTTCTGTACATCACTCAGCTTGAGGGTGCCATTCTCGTACACCACCTGCCGATGGTTGTCCGGCAACAGCATACCATCCTTGTACCACTTGATGGAGTAGTAAGGGTAGCCGATCACACGACAGTTGATGAAGGTGTTGCGGCCTGCCACAGCCGTAATGTTACGCATGGCCCGGATACTTGGGGGGCCTGAGAGGGAGAGAGGAAGACAGAGGGAGGGAGAGAACGAGATGTGGCAGGAAGGAAGAGGGTAAAGTAAGAGAGGCAGAGAGATTGAAAGAGGGAGGAGTGTGGGATGCAAAAAAGGCAGAAATAGGGGAATTGAGACATGCGGAGAAAGAAAGATTGCATAGAGAAATTGGAAAGGTGAAATACGGGGGGAGGGAAAATGAGACAGAAGAGGGAACAAAGGAGGGAAAGAAAGAAAGGAGGGGGCAAGAAAGTTGAACAGAGGATGGATGAGTGGATAATGGAAGGGGAGAAGGGGTTAGAATGCTCTTTGTTTTCAGAGAATAATGTGTGTGTATTGTGACTGTGTGTATGTGTCTGTGCCTTTGACATATAACTGTGTGGGCTAATAAAGTGAGGCACACAGGTACATAATTTAACAACAATATAAAACATTTTGCATAGTAAACTGTATATTTGGCTGTTGCATAACATGTTATGCCAAATTACTTACCATACATTTTTTCAAGCAAAATAAATAAATTAAATATGCTGAGTCAAAAAAATCCTTCCTGCTGCATCACACATGTAACATGTCAATAAAAGTCCATATAGCATCACATTTCAATATGCCAATCCCAAACACACCCTTAGAGGATAAAGGACAGAACAGAGGCTTTGAGAGAGGTTCAGCTATGTAATAACTGGTGATCTACTCAAACATAGCTTAGCCTTGTGCTTTCTGGTTTCAAGATTCGATTTTTGGAGGTCAGTGGTAGAATGAAGGTCACTTGCCTATCTAGATTACCTTTGGCTAACAGTGCTTAGCCTGCAGGTTAAAAATAGCTTTTCATATTAAGACCAATCATGTCTGGGTTAACTTAAGAAGGCAAATAATGGTCGGTCTGGGTTTTTACTTTTCTTTTTTTGAGGATTTTGAGAAAGGCTGACCCTCTACAAGACTCTGTTCTCCAAAACACATAAGGATGCTGGGGAAGGAGAAAGATGATGTACAGAGTATGAAGATGAACAGAAAAGGGTAACAAAAAATTTAAGAGACTTCTAAAGAAAGAATCCATATGAAAAGCTAACAGAAAAGAAATTTGTCTCAAAACAGAGTATTTAATGGGTAATTGTGAGGGTGGTGGTGGGGCATATGGAATTTGCGTACATCTCTAGCCATCTTCCTTCTTCTCTTTCTCTGCTCAGTATGTGTTGAGCTTTGAAGTCACCACTCTGACAAGTGAACCACTGATGTATTATTCAACAAGACTGTCGCACAGTATCCCCTTCTCTCTCTTGCGCTCTCTCTCTTGCATTGCTCTCCCCTTCTGCCTTTGTTTGTCTAATACAATATGAATGCATGAACTCAAGTAGGGTCCATGTGGTGGAAGTATGCTGCTTTTTGGAAAAGTGAACATATGTATGCACATGTGTGTTTGTTGGATCTTAAAAGAGTGCTCTATTGCCCTCATAGCATGCGTCACACTCTTGTGTATACATGAGAATGAGTGTAAGTAAAGGCTGTCAGTTTGTATACCATGTCATAATGTGAGTGAATCAGTAATGAACAGTGCATCACTAAATGTGTGTGTGTGTGTGTGTGTGTGTGTGTGTGTGTATATGACTGCAACTCTGGTACCAGATCTCATCCTCGCTCCAACGATTGTTCTGGCATGTCTCCTTAAAGCAGACATATATGTCATAATTGAGCAGAAAGAAAGAGAATGAGAGAGAAAGACAGAAAGAGTGAGAGAGAGAAAGAGGCAAAGAGAGAGAGAGAGAGAGGAGCAGAGTAATATCAGCAAGGCTGTCAACACAACTCAGTATCACTGCTCTCAGAAGGTGAGTCCTCTTCTCTTCTCTCACATGGCTTCCCTCCTGTCCCTGAGCTTCTGGCTGGAGAAAAGGCCTCTCCCTTCTGCTAGCTCTCTACTCTCTCCAAGAACAGCAAGAACAGCTTATGTGTTCCAGCCAGCCAGAGAATTAGACAGATACACTCTGTATGTGTGAAGAAGCGTGGAACAAAGGCCGAGACAGGATGGTCAGAACAGAGGGACAACCAACGCTGAAATGAGTTCCTCAGTGTGAGTGAAAAAGTTAGAGCTAGTTAGAGAAAGAAGGAGTAAGTGAGACAAACGATGAAAGTATATTAGACAAAAGATATGAGAGAGGAAGTGAGTGACTAAGTTAACTAAAAAAATGACAAGTGAAAAAAAAAAAAACACTCTGTCCACACACATCTACCCCCCACCCTACAGTCTCTCTCTCACACACACATACAGGAACATGTCCATAATGATGAGAGGGTGTGAATGGAGAACGGTGAGGGTAGGGGTAGAAGGTTTTGGGTTTTAAGCCACCCTATAACAGCTGAGATTGAAAAGTAGACAGGCACCTCTTACGTTTATGCGCGCTTGGTACTCGGCGCTACCGGCCGAGTTGCGTGCAGCGCAGCGGTACACGCCCCCGTCGCGGATCTGTGGGTTGCTGACATTAACGTGCGAGACGGTGGAGCCGTCCGAGAGCGTGTACTGACTGGCCCGGTGCGCCGAGTCCCGAGCGATTGGCTCGTCATCCAGTGTCCAGGAGATGGTGGGGGGAGGGGCACCTTTGGCTGTACACATTAGGGAGAAGGGCTCGCCTGGGGCCACCACGCGTTCACTGAATGAGAAGACAATCCGCGGCGTGCCATCTAATAGGGTGTCCAGGAAAAAAGTGCAAGAGACGAAGAGAGGTGTATACTTTATATTCAGGCCTTTGTTAAAAAAAAATATTACCCTCCATGATCTACATCACAAGTTTTATGCTAAAGATGGGAAATTTAAGAATTTTTGAACACTCATGTTTAAATAAATAGTATTTGAATATGTGAATGAAAATATATTTTACATTATTATGAATAAAAATTGGAACATCGAATACTTACGTTATTTAAGTTATGTTGCAGCTAATACAATGTTGCTTTCACATCAAAGCCTTACTAAAAGGAACTAATTTATAATTACAAGACAATACACAATTTATCACTTTTTTACAACCGCAATTCCAAAAATGTTGGGACGCTGTGTAAAATGTAAATAAATGTAAATAAAAACAGAATGCAATGATTTGCAAATCTCACAGACCCATATTTTATTCACAATAGAACAAAGAACACATATCAGATGTTGAAAGTGAGACATTTTAGTATTTCACGAAAAATTTTAACTCATTTAAAACTTGATGGCAGCAACGCATCTCAAAAAAGTTGGGACAGGGCCACATCTACCATTGTGTAGCACCCCCTTTTCATTTAACAGTCTGTAAACGTCTGGGAAGTGAGAAGACCAATTGCTGAAGTTTTGGGAGAGAAATGTTGTCCCATTCTTGTCTGATGTAGGATTCTAGCTGCGCAACAGTCCTGGGTCTTCTTCGGAGTTTTTGTTTAATGATGCGCCAAATGTTTTCTATTGGTGAAAGTCTGGACTGCAGGCAGGCCAGTTTAGCACTTGGACTCTTCTTCTGTGAAGCCATACTGTTGTGATGGATGCAGTATGTGGTTTAGCATTGTCTTGCTAAAATATGCAAGGCCTTCCCTGAAAGAGACATTGTCTGGATGGGAGCATATGTTGTTCTAAAACCTCAATATACTGTCCAGCATTGATATTGCCTTTCCAGATGTGTAAGCTGCACATGCCATAGGCACTAATGCAACTCCAAACCATCAGAGATGCAGGCTTATCAGTGCATAGTTATGCGCTGAAAGGGACCATCAAGCTTGTTATCAGCGCATAGTTGAACTATGCGCTGATAACAAGCTTGATGGTCCCTTTCCTCTTGAGTGCGCAGGACACGGTGTCCATGGTTTTCCAAAAAGAATTTCAAATTTTGATTCATCTGACCACAGAACAGTTTTCCATTTTGCCTCAGTCCATTTTAAATCAGCTTTGGCCCAGAGAAGACGGCAGCATTTCTGGATTGTGTTAACATATGGCTTCTTTTTAGCATGATACAGCTTTAACTTGCGTTTGTGTATTGCATGGCAAACTGTGTTCACAGACAATGATTTCTGGAAGTGTTCCTGAGCCCATGCAGTGAATTCCAGTACAGAATCATGCCTGTTTTTAATGCAGTGCTGCCTGAGGGCCCAAAGATCACGAGCATCCAATATTGACCGTCGGCCTTGTCCCTTGCGTACAGTGATGTCTCCAGATTCTCTGAATCTTTTAATGATATTATGTACTGTAGATGGTGGGATATTCAAAATCTTCACAATTTTGTGTTGAGAAACATTTTTCTGAAATTGTTCCACAATTGTTAGAAGCAGTTTTTCGCAGATTTGTGAACCTCTGCTCAGCTTCTGAGAGACTCTGCCTCTCTAAAATGATCTTTTTATACCCAGTCATGTGAATTAGTTGCAAATTGCTCCTCCAGCTGTTTTTTATTAGTACTTAGTATCACTACTTTTCCAGCCTTTTGTTGCCCCTGTCTTAACTTTTTTTGAGATGCATTGCTGCCATCAAGTTCTAAATGAGTTAATGTTTTTCATAAAATGGTAAAATGTCTCACTTTCAACATCTGATATGTGTTTTATGTTCTATTGTGAATACAATATGGGTCTATAAGATTTGCAAACCATTGCATTCTGTTTTTATTTATATTTACTTACATTTTACACAGCTTCCCAACTTTTTTAGAATTGGGGTTGTATTTTAAACTAATTAAATTTGAAAGGTCTATTGAATTCAGATAACCATGTATTCACACCTATTCTATATAAAAAAAATCATACCTATCCCTTTTTCTACTACCCCTTGGGTATTTACCTTCCAGCAGTATAATGGAGAAATCTTGGGCTGTTTGGCCCTTGCGTGTAGCAAAACACTGGTAGGCACCCGAGTGCCTCTTTTGGGCTGCAGTGATGAACAGTGTCTCGTTGTGGGCACCCTGGATGGAGAAGTGCTGGTCAGGAAGCACAGGCTCTGTGTTGCGGAACCAAGACACGGTAAAGTGAGGAGAGCCCTGCACAGCACAGGACAGGATCACCGTGCTGCTGATACCTGTCTTCAAGTTCTTAGGGGACAGGGTGACCCTCAGAGGTTCTGGACAGATAGGGAGAGAGAGAGTAGGAAAGAGAGAAAGATGGTTAGATCATGTAATTGTAATTTTGTTAAACGGAGCAATGGCCTTAAAGGTGGAATCTGTGATTTTTAAGTCAGAAAACCTTTTGTAAATTCGCAAGTTTCTGTGGCTGCTCCTGATTCTGTGCATGAGAGACAAACAAATGAAAACCAATATTCAACCAGTCAGGACAAGGAGTCTCTACTGTACTATCAATCAAATTGTGTATCTACAGCCATCATCAAGCTATCGAGCTATAAACCTGAGCTCTGGAAACAATAACTGCAACAGCTGGCCAGTTGAAAAAGACAAAAAATGATGTCAAAGAAAATATCACCAAAGCTGCCAAATCTGCCACTACCTATGATGTTGTACGTTGTCAAACAAAGAGAAATAAACTGACCGATCAAAGAACATGATCAATCTAAAGCAAAGGCAAGTAGTTTTCTAACTAAATGAGAGACTAATGGAGTTAAAAGGCATATTAAACATCTACTAGATAGATCATTACTTTGTTTTTTCCAAATTATTAACCTGGTGCAGCCGAGTAGGCAACTGCTCATGAACTATGTCAGTTGGCAGCATGACATAGATTTTATGTCTGTTAGGTTTCAAAACAGCTAGCTTTAGCTAACTTCCACCAAAAACAACATGACACCACCAAGATGCTTGCATATAATTATATTAATACAGGGAATGACAATGGATCTTGGAAGGAGAAAGTAAGAGACACATAAAATACACAAAGAATGGAAGGTAAGGGAAGAAGCTACTACAGAGAAGAGGGAGGGGAGAAGAATAGGAATACGGGGGCACAGAATGATGTGGTCCTTTGGGAAAGGACATGAGAAAAAAAGAGAGAATGGGAAGTGGAGAAGCTGATTCTATGAAAGTGAACAGAGAGGGTGCAAAAAGAAAAGAAAAAGGTTACAGTAGAGAAAATGACAAATGAAAGAGAAATACAATAGGCTGCTTTAATGTTGCTTGCCAGGACTGTTCAGCAGGTTTCCACTAAAAGCTGGCAAACTCAGGATCTCAGGACCAATGACAACCCTGCCTGGTTTAGCTAAGCAATTGTTTTCAATGCCATATCAGGTAATCATTAATGACATATTTTGACTGTAAATGAGTTAAAAAAGTGATATCATAGCAATAATAAGTACTGCAAAAATTCGTGGTATTCAAATTAGTCTCTGAAAAATGGCACTCTTGGTACAAAAACCAGTACTTTTATGTCTGTTAAATGTGCACCCACCAAAGATAACCTTTTATTTCTGGAATTACACTTGGCTTTTTCATAAATGTAAAAATAAATTTTACAGTTTGTGTGTATATATATATATATATATATATATATATATATACATATATATATATATATATATATACACACACACACATATATATATATATATATATATATATATATATATATATATATATACACACACACACATAAATTTATATGTAAGTACAAGAGAGAAACAGAAGAATGAAAGGAGAGAGAAAATGTCAGTGAGCAATAAGGCAGCTGGTGTTATGTGCTGGGGGCTCACTGTGTGTGTATGTGTGTATATGTGTGTGTGTGTGTGTGTGTGTGTGTGCGTACGTATGTGTGCCATCCTCCCTGCTTGTCCTGTCAGAGTATGTGCGAGCACACTGGCATGATGTGCCCACTGGCTAAACGTCCAAATGTCCACAGCACCTCCTCCCTTCCACTGTTCTTCCTCTGTTCTTTATCATTGGGTATCTAGCAAACTGCAACCCTCCAACACCGTACACAAACACACACACACGCACGCACGCACGCACACACATCCAACTCCGTAGTGGTGGATTAGTGGGGGCTGAGCAGGGGGATACAGCACAGCCTTTCTGTCCCTTTACATCACTTTTCCCCATGAGCAGTAGGGAGGTGACACAGGCTGACCAGCCTGCCAGCACCATTTAGACCCTAGACTACCTTTCTCTCTCTTCTCTGTTTAAAGGTAAACCTAAATAAATCTGTTTCAGATGTACTGTTTTCATTTTGTTTCTGCTTCAGTGAACCCTTTGGACTTTGTCTACTTTAGTCTCCATTCCTCTTTCTTTCTACCCACCTATGTGTCTGTTCACTTTACCTCCTGTTTTTGTCTTACTCTTGATGAGACAACTGCTCATGAGTTTTAGGCTAGCAGAGCCAGAGGCACTGGCCAGTCTTTGACAGATGCCACTGTGGACAATGGCCGGCAGATAAAAACTCCAGCATGCTATAAGAGATGGAGGAGGGCACTAAGCCAAAGCAACTATTCCTCCTCTTCTAAAAGTAGAAATGTGAAGAAAAATTTCACTGTACACATATAAAAATACAATTAATTTCTTTGGTCAGAACTTTTGACATGCGTTCATGTTTTTGACAAGTCAGGTCACTACAGTTCAATACAAGCTTGCTTGCTAACTAATTGGCTAAATAATTATGTTTGTTAAATGTTAGCTAACACTTACAGTGGCCCCTAAGAAATTGGTCGCATGCCAGAAGTGGAAGAGGATCAGCAGTATCTGAAACATACTAGCCACCTTTTGAAAAGTCTTGGCATGATCTGTTTAAAATACAAGGCACTTGGTTTCGATATTCTGATTCCTAACACAATTAACTTTTTTAAATAAATCAAAAAGACATTGACACAATTTTCCCCTTATGTAGCTAACAAGTAAAGAAAACTTTTGTTGCATTTCACTGTATTTGAAAGTCAAATATTTCCAAGTCAGTACTCATGATTTTCAAATTAAATGCATTCCAGTGCTCTTATGAGCTAAAACATGGATGTCAGCAGCAAATGGATATTGTAAGGCAAGTCACAGAGTTTGAGAAGCATCTTAAGGGGACCTACATCAACTACTACAGCAACTTGAATATGCTTTGTGTTTAATGTGTGTGCCGCAATTTGACTATGATGTCAGGTTTATTTATGTCGGGAAACTTGGTGAGTCTTTCCAACTTAAAATCGTTCCATTGAACATTTGTGAGGCCAGACAGCAAAATGGAATGCAGTGTTACACCCCACTTGTGTCAAAAGCAGTGGGCAGACTAAATCATTGTAAGTCCCAAGTTTCATGTTAAGTCCCAAGTCTTAAGTCAGAAATTATTTTTCCACCCTTTTACATTTAGTGGCATTTCAACATTTAACACCAGCAATAGCTGTTACAGAAATATATTAAAGGTCAGTATGTTAAAATTCTATGATAATGCTATTATATTAAATTTGCTAGTGACATGGATAAACAGTACTGACTAGCAGCTTGGTTTGCTAGCTTTACCCAGTGCTCCCTGTCCCATCATGGCAAACAGAAAACAGAGGGGCAGTTATGTGATTTAACATTACTTTATCACTTGTAAAGAACTAAATAACAATAAATGACAGTTACACTGATAACTGCTCATGTTACATAATACATTATAGGCATGGGCATAGTTATTCAAATATATGGACATCCAAATTCATCTTCATTTACTTAGTCAAGTATTCAAATAAGGTATGTGTAATCTGGAATAAAAAAAACAAACTCTCTATTGAGTTATCTTGTTATTTTTAAATACGTTTTTGACTGAGTGTGTGTCGTGAAATAGCAGAGTTAGGCAGAGAGCTAACAGGCTAACTGGCTCATGCAATAATATGCTATAAAAGATTTCAGATGTTGCTTAGGGCCCCCGAACCACCAGGGTCTTAAAGGTTATTTTTCTGTTTGTGTCAATCATCATTTAAATATGACATCATTGATGAAATCAGAAAATAAATCTCATCAGTTCACCACTGTTGTCCAGCTCAAACAGAAAGACTAGAGCAGTGACAAAAAAGTTCTTATTTTTTTGACTAGTCTTACTTGTGTTGACTAGAATTTAACCTGTTAATCCTGAAAGCAACAACTGTCAACAGAGTCTGATATTTGAGCGGATTGATACAAAACTATGTGCTGACAAAGACTATGATGATGGTGATTATTCAGGCATATAGTTTTCATGATGTTAGTATCATGGGATATGAGCTTCCATTACTTGTTAAGTACATTTGCCTTGTAACACCAGTACAAAACTAAAGAAAGAAGTTTCAGGATGCCAAACACGTCTTAACTGATCACTGATCACCAGTACACTTTTCTTGAAATGGCCGACACTTTTGTTTGCTTTATTGCTACTGTTAACACCACGTTTGATTTTGAATTGACCGTCTCTGGACAGTATGTCTAGATGGCAGAGGCCAGATAGACCCTGGCCAGCACGAGACATTTGAAGTTGCAACTCAGGCAGCTAAATTGGTGATGGCTTTATCTCCCAGTGTTGCTGACTTGTATTCATAATACAGTTGGTAGGTGTTTACTGGATAATGACATCTATCTATTGAAAGTTGTACAGGACATCACAAATAGCTGGGCTCAGTCTGTGCTAGCTGGAATGTTAGTCAGCAGATTTTGGGGCAGAGTCAGAGTCAACTAAAAAGTCAAGAAGTGTGCAAGTGGCAAAGAGTGTAATTTCTTGCCTCTCAATAAAGGGCAAGTTGGATACTAACTTTATGTAATTTTGCAGCTAAAATACAATGATGTATTGTCACCACATGTGACAGGAAAGTAGATATATAGAGCAAACTAGCCTAATTTCATTGCAAAATATAAATAACTAATGTTATTAACACACGTTAAGCATGTCTTTTATTTCCATCACTTTGTTTGCATTTTCTTCAAGTAAATTCTAAGAGGTGTAGAGAATTGTGGTTGACGAAAGGTTGGCAAGAATAGAGTATTTGTGTCATCAATACCTCTCAGAACATAGGCTGATTTTTCAGTTTTAATCAAAATCAAAAGATCCTTTAAAATGAAACAGGTTTTGCCAAGAAATGTAGTCTAAATCAGTTGCAGCCTAAAATGAGTACTTTGTGCACTTTCCTACAAACACAAGCAGTTACATTTGTTAACAAAATCGTAAAGACAAAAGACATTGTTGAAATGAAGTCAAGTCAGCTATACACTGAATTCGATTTTGTCATTAAGAAGACCACATTGCCATGTTGGTGGGCAAGCTGAAACTCTGACTGTGCTCTGATAGAGCTTGTCTTGTCACCGTTACTACAGCTACAACCCCAGGGGCAAAACGGGGGGTACCCAGTAAATCTTTTGATTAGATCCTGGAATATTCTGGGTGCTGGTTTACCTCTCTTGACACTCAGAAGAAAAAGCTGTAACTATATTCAGGTATTAAAAAATAATTTGTTATTCATTATTTCTTGTGCTTGATGTCTATCCACCCACACCCACACTACTGACACAAAATCAAAATATTACTTGAGCTGCGGGTGTGAAAAGGGAATGGAGCTGTGATTAGGAGTGTGTGTTATTCTTTTTCTTCCTTATGTTGACTATTTTTGGTGCTCACTTTTTTGTGTCTCACCATTTTGTTACATCTACTGACCTAGAGTAAAATACATACATACTAGGGGTGGGAATCTTTAGGCACCTCACGATTCGATTCGATTACGATTCAGAGGGCTGCGATGCGATTATAAAACGATTATCGATGCATCTCGATGCATCTTTTTTCTCTATACAGGATTTCTATCTTCCGACTGTCTGAGGACTTGGTAGTTTTAAAGCAAAGTATTTGTAACGATCCATAATGTAAATGCATTATGGATCATTACAAATACTTTGCTTTAAATATCTAAAATATCTTTTATTAATAAATCAAATGGAAGTGATGTGGCAAGTGAACTAGAAGGCTCTCGTTCAGAGACGCTGCTGCCACTCATCTGCGATAAAATGCGCTGTTGCCCTGAAATAAGATCCAGTGGCAATGGGTGTCCACGCAGCACGTTACAGCCGTCCTTCCCGTTTTCTTTAGTGATCTTATAACTTCGGTTTTGGTCTCGTTGTAGAGACGGGGGGGCGGGTATTTTCGAGACTGGACGCTGAATCTCGGCTCCAAAGTGTGCAGCATAGCGCGAAAGCCCTGGTTCTGAACGACCGAGAACAGTGAGCAGACAGCAGGTCACACAGCACCGAGGTCTGGCCTCGCCAGTAGCGAACGAAAAAAAATCTGCAACGAGAGTTTTAAAAAAGTTGCGAAAATGAACTCGCTTCTCTTTCGAATTTTCCCGTTCCACCTTAAATGGTGCAGCAGTTACATTCGGCGCCTAAGGCAGAATTTAAGGTGAAAGTTCAGCCTCGTAAAACAGCCGGATGCTGAGACATTTTACAAGAAACTCTTCTAGTTTTGAAGAAAAGTTTTCCGGCGCAGATGGGAGGAAAGCGGCTAAAGCTAAAGCTTAAAGCAGAGCGAAGTAAATCTGCGCTCTCGTTTATATTTTTAGCCCATACTACGACATTAACACGTACTGGACATTAAATGTTGTGGCTCCAAAGGTGGTTTGACTTTGTTGAAAGGCAAAATGTCTCTTCTTAACATTTGTGTTGTGACTCCTGACCTAACCTGGCTTTAATGCAGAGGCTGTCGGTCGGATTTCTCGCTCATCCAGTTGTGTTTTTGTTATGTGCCGCCACAGACTGTCCGGGCGCTGCACTTCCGCACTTCCAGTTCCGCCTTTGCGTTCCGTCAACATTATGTTATAAATCAAATATTTAGAAAATCGATTTTTGACACTTGTGAATCGATTCAGAATCGTTCACGTCCGCATCGCGATGCATCTAAGAATCGAGTTTTTTCCCGCACCCCTAATACATACAGACATACATACATACATACATACATACATTAATTAACATGAAAATTTGTTTTTCCATTATATGGGCCCTTTAAAACACCACTGATTTCCTTCGATCCCTCTTTCTTTCCTTGACTCCTCACCGATCACATTTAGGTGGCCTGTGACCTCTTTAGAGCCAAAGCTGTTGGTGACCTCACAGATGTAGTTGCCTGAGTCCTCCAGGCGCAGGTCACTGATGGTAAGGCCTGTGAGACGGCGAGTCCAGCGAGAATCGGCTGGCAGAGGCCTTCCATCCTTTAGCCAACGAATGGTGGGGTTGGGGTAGCCTGAGGCGATGCAGGGGAGCTCAACGCTGCGTCCCACTTGCACCTCACCTGACTGGAAGCTGTCCATAACTGAGGGTGGGGACTCTGTGGGGTCTGGAGAGAAGAATACATGTTAGCTTTTACTTAGACCTTTAGACTGTCCCTTTCTTACTTTGCTTATTTTTGAGGTTTTCCCTACTCTAACATTTGCAATGCAATTCTTCACATTATTAAGTCCTTCATGAAAAGAGAAAAACACAAATATAAGCAGTGCATGTAGATCCCAGAAATGGGATTAAGAGTAACTTCTTCCATCTTTAAGACACTGAGCTTTTTTTTTCATTGTTTTTCATGATAACTTTAAAAAAGGCTTTTTGTAATTTTATTCGATTCAAAGTTCAAATTTTATTGGAACAACAATATTTGACCACACAAAAATGATAGAGGGGAGCTCTGTATACTACAAAAAGAACAAAACATCTATTCACATGAGTGTACCAACATTACTGGTGGTTTAAGTAGGAATATATAGTGATAGTGACACATTTTGAGTGAAAACCTCCATAAGCAGTTTCTTCAATGACTTCCCCAACTCCTCTTCCATTTTAATAAACTGAATATTTAATGCATTATTGTCAATACATACCTAGCACAGACAGACGAGCTCCATTACTCTGTCTGGTCTCTCCACTGTATTTGTGCTTAGTGATGCAGCGGTAGGTAGAAAGCGCGTCCTCTTTCTGCACATCGGATATGTAGAGGGCCCCATATGATGTCAGGAAAAACCTGTTACCTGTGCAAAAAGCAGAGAGTGGTCAATAAAGTCACACCAATACACACAAATAGGCATACAAACATAAACCACACACATACACATTTTCAAAGAGACACATGTACTCAAGGGTTCGTACTTAAAAAGGAGCCTTTGGAATCTTTGAGAACTATAATTAACTGCCTACTGAACGCTATATGTCAGAAAAAGAGAAAAGAAGGTTAATATTTGATGTCTGTGTTATTGTAATGGCATATTACTGTCATGTTCATTTTTACATCAGTAAGTGCTAGCTCTACTGTGATTATACGTATGTCAATAAAAGCTGTAATTCACAACAGCACCACACAGTCTTTCTGTGGCTACAAGCTTTGAACTACTGCCTGCTTCTATTCCATGGCGAAAAAGATATTTCTAAGAGTGGAATGTGTCTTTATGTGAACGAGTTGAGGAGAATGGTGTGTGCATGTGTATTTTTTTGTGCTTCAAAGATATATATGTTGGAAATATGTTTTCAGAATGCAAAAATTCAGTATGTGTACTCAGTCCAAGTAAGGTTTGTAAAGGCAGTATTCAAATGCAGTTACTTTTTAGGAGAATTCTTTTAGAATATGTACCTGCTTACCTTTAAAAGAAATACCATAAATGCTTGTTTATTAACTATTTTCATCAGCAAGGTATGTAAAGATGTGCTCAATAAAGTGTAAAGAAGGACTCAATAAACTTCTTTACAAGCACTGAAGTTCCTGCTAAAGCTTAAATAGACTGATAATGTGATGAGTCAGTTATTAATCTTAGTGTTACTAAACTCGTTTGAGGGATGACTGAACTAAACATTTTCCTTAGCAGTGCACAAGTAATAAGTTATATATATATATCCCCCAGTGGTCATTGGGCAGAAGGCAGGAAATACCCTGGACAGATCCTCAGTTCATCACAGAGCAGACACACAGACATACACATTCACAGCTATCGGCAACTTAGTATTTCCTGACTGCATGTCTTTGGACTGCCACTGGAGCACATGGGGAGATCATGCAAACTCCACACAGAAAGAACGCTGTATCGTAAAATTGTCTTGAAGTACTGTTGTGTGTGCCATTTTTGTAAATAAAATCTATGAGTGTGAAGAAACTTTTTAAAGTTTAAACAGCCACCACATATTGTAAAGGTTCTAAGATGAACCCATAAACTTGCATTTTTGGTTGATGTGCACCACTGACAATAACAACAGCAAAGTATGTCAGTATGTGAAAGGAGGAAGCCAGACTGCGTGAGTGTGTTTCAGTGTGTCCCAGTTTCTTCTGGCTGGACATGTGAACTTGTCTCGCCTCACAGTTATCAGGGCAAACCCCAGATGGAGGCATCTAAGATATAGCTGCATGTGACGACCCTGACTTCCAAACCAAAATACACACCCACAAGGACAAAGCTACCTGCTAAAGGCTTAAGAGATAGGAGAGTCTGCATGCGTTCATGTAGACATTTATGCATTTGTAAGTAACAATAAAGGTGTATGTGTGTGTGTGTGTGTGTGTGTGTGTGCACTCAAAATCACTAGGCCTCTACTGTAGTTTTGCATAACTAAAAGATTTAAACATTAGTGGGATACTACTCACCGGCCACTTATTAGTTAGACCTACACTCACGCCTGTATGTACTCTCATGGTCGATTTTATATGGTCCACTTACATATAGGCGCACTAGTTCTACAATTACAGAATCTATCATCTGTTTTTCTGCACTATTTGCAAGCATTAGATAAGTGTTCATTTAAATGCTTCACAAACAATTGGGTCTTCAGTTAATGTTTGAAGACAGCAAGGGACTCTACCCTTCAAGCAGCCAGTGGAAGTTTGTTCAACCATCTGGGTGCCAAGACAGAGAAGAATCTGGATGTTTGTCTTCCATACATTTTGAACAATGGCAGGTCAATCAAGCTATACCTGAAGCTTGAAGGGCTTGAGGTACGGATAGGGTTTTGACCATGGCTGTTAGGTAGGGTGGAGGGGGTCCATTTTTGGCTTTGTAGGCAAAAAAGATTTCAAATCTGATTTGGGCAGCAACACAAAGCCAGTGAAGGGAACACAGCAGCAAGCAGCATGGTAGCTCATCTGTTGCTGCACAGTTTGTGTTAGTCATCCTCTTTATTAGTGGGCAGTTTCTGGTCACAGGATGCTATTGGCTGAATATTTTTGGTTGGCAGATTATTCTCAGTCCTGACACTGAGGTGTTTAAAAACTCCAGCAACACTGCTGTGTGTAATCCACTTGTACCAGTGCATACCCACTAACATGTCAACAGATAAGTGCCAACAAATTATGCAGAGAAACAGATGGATTACAATCTGTAATTGCAGAACTACAAATTGCACCTATATAGTAAGTGGATCTGGTGTAGATACGTTTAGACAAACCTGAAAATGTGGCCAGTCATTGTACATTACAATCCCTGCTCCGTGAAAGTAAAAAACCTGTAAACTATGAGACAAGTACGTTGGAGTGTGTGAGTGTGTGCATGTGTGTTCTCTTACTGTGCTGGTATGTGAAGGATTGCAATCGATACGCTTTATGGCTCCACTGCTTCATCCAAAGCAGATTTATTAAAGCAGAGAGGACAGGCTTTGCTCCCCAACACACACACAGACACTCCATCACTCTAACAAGCCGCTCACACAACTCCTACACACAAAACGAACAGTTGTTTCGCTTGCACACAATACCTCAAATTAAAGATAAAGCTACATACAGCAAAACATAAAGACAAAAATGTCTGTAAACACTTCAAAATATGTATTTGTCACTCCATATGTAAATGCGTATAATGTAATAGTGTATGCGTGAACGAGTCAGATGCGTGCGCTTGTGTGTGTGTGTGTGTGGCACGTGCGCATGGGTATTGTTGTCATGCTGAGTGTTAGGCCCGGCAAACTGTAATTTGAGAGTCGGCCCTCACGGTCCAACCTGCGTATTAAGTCTTACAGGATAATGTGCACTTGGCAACGTTAACCCTCGACAACATCAGCGCAAGGCTGTCACAACACTTCACCCAGAGTGAGAGACCGGAGGGAATTGGGGGTGGGGATGCGAGGGAGGGAAGGAGTGAGGGAGGGAAGGAGTGAGGGAGGGAGGGAGGAAAGAGAGAGGAAAAAACAGCTACAAAGATGTGGAGAAGCAGTTACAGGACAATATAAAAACAGATTTAATCTTGAACATAGATGCTTTTAAAAACTAAGAAAAGACTAAAAAGTGAAAGATATAAACAAAAACCTGTATCAGAAAACCATGCCTTTACTACAGTCTACAAGTCGTAGCGATGAAATTTTACTAGCAGAGTGCACTTAATGCGATATAACAAAGTTCTGCCTTTAAGAAGAGTTTGGAGTAGGGCTAAAATATGGATGAAATACAAAAAAATCAATTACAAAATCCATTACAAAAATGGACCTTAATGTGAAATGCAAATAAAAACAGAAAGCAGTGTTTGTAAATTCTGTATGACCTGCAGTAAACTACACAATACTGTAGAAACACAACAGCACAAAAACACAATATAAGATGTTTTTTATTTGACAAAATGTATTGTTTTTTTTTTTTTTTTAATAAATATCCACTCATTTCAAATTTGGTACCTGCAACAAAGTTGAGACAGGAGCACATTTATCAATGTGTTACATCACTTTTCCTTTTAACACAAATATCAATTTTGGAACTGAACACCAATTGATCCAGTTTTAAAAAACAAATTTTTTGTTATTCTTCCCCTACATAAGTCTTCAGCTGCAGGGGCCTACATTGTTCCAATTTGTGCTTTTTTTCAGTAGGAGACTGCAGGTAGGCCAGTCTAGCTCCTACACTCTCTGATTACACAGACATGCTGTTGTATCATGTTTCGAATCCTGTTTGGCCTCATGTTAAACTAAGCATGGACATCCTTGCAAAAGACGTTGTCTTTAAGGCAGTATGTTACTCCTAAATGTGTATGTGTCTTTCAGCATTAATAGTGCCTTCACAGTTGTCTGAGGGACCCATGTCATGAGCTCTAATACACCCCATACCATGACAGACCCTGGTTTTTGAACTTTACGCTGGTTACAATCTGGATTGTCCTTTTTTTGTTTGCCCAGAGAATATGATGTCCATTATTTCCATAGACACATCAGACCCAACTGTGCACCGTTTCATATTTGCTGACATGTTTTTTGGCAAAGACCCATTCTTGCTCATTAAGGATTAGCCCTTTCCTGGATGCTCATTTTATATCCAAGCATGATTGAATCACCTGTTTAAGATTTTTTTTTGAACATTTTCACAACATTCTTAGTCTTAAATTGCCCTGTCTATATTTTTTGATATTTGTAGAAGGCAGCATTCTCAGAATGAGTATATATTTACAAAAAATGTTGTAAGTTTATAAGGTAAAACATTAAACATCCTGTCTTTGTGCTAGTTTTGTATAAATACGGGTCAAAGTGGATTTATAAATCACAATGCATTTCATACACTGTCCCAACTTTTTCAGACCTAAGGTTTGAACTATTATTCTTTCATTGCAAAGGCCAATATCATGATAACAATTAACAACCAATATATTGTACAGCCCTAGTTGTAAACAAATGCTTTTAAGTGACTCATTTCTTTGTTTGTAATATTATAGTAATGTTCTTCTTGATCCAAATATGAGGAAGAGATGAAGAGTAAAAGGGCGGCACAGTGGCGCAGTGGGTAGCGCTGTCGCCTCACAGCAAGAATGGCCTGGGTTCGATTCCCGGCCGGGCGATCAGGGTCATTTCTGTGTGGAGTTTGCATGAGTGTGTATGTGAATGTGTATGTCTGTCTGTCTGCCCTGCGATGGACTGGCGACCCGTCCAGGGTGTATCCTGCCGTCCGCCCAATGACAGCTGGGATAGGCTCCAGCACCCCACCGCGACCCAGAAGGATAAGCGGTTTAGATGATGGATGGATGAAGAGTAAAAGAGGAAGGAGAAAGAGAGAGACAGAAAGAGAGAGAGAGACAGGGCA